ATTCAGTTTATATAGAAACTTTTGTATGCAGTTCTTATATGCAATATGTGAATCATATACAATTACTTTATGCATTCCATTCAGTTTTGTATTCCATTCAGTTTATATAGAAACTTTTGTATGCAGTTCTTATATGCAATATATGAATTGTATACAATTACTTCATGAATTATTTCATTTAGTTTTGTATACAATTTACATATAAACTTTTGTATGCAGTTTTTATATGAACTCGAAATTGCTAGAAAAGTGAACGTCTCGAATAAAAAATGTTGGACTAGTTACGAGAACCATTTCTTACAGTTTATCGATAAAATTCTGTTTTAATGAAATTCTGAAAGTTACTATCTTTTTCGCGAAACTAAAATGCGAAAGTTTCCAAATCGTACGACACGCCTGGTTCCACGGTTTTTGCCCGTTTGTTCTTGTTTGTTTCAGACGAATGGAATTTGTTTTGACGAATAAAAAGACATTGATAAATCGGGGAAGGTCGATAGACGTGAGCGCAAAAACGGGATCCTCGCTGAAAACTGTAGTTTACAGATGAGACAAAAGGCTGAATAACTTCTGGAATTCTCCACAAATGCACGCGGACTGCACCCAAGACTGGATTCCAAAATGATTTCGTGTTCGGTTATATCCAGTATTTTGGCGGGGGTTGCGCGATGCCTTTACTTCTCCGTCATTTAGAAGCTTAAATAGTTGATTAGTTAAATCTTAAGTAGTCTTCGATTATGATAACAAACATATTAGCATACACACATGTGTATCTAGCTACAGTCATTACTTTAGGTTCACTTAAGTAATTAATTAGGTTCACTTGTTGAGAGTTAAAATTGTATTAAAATGGAGACTGAGTTGATTAATTGATAATTGAATTAGAATACAAACTAAATCAATGAACTGCATACATGTGTATGTTTACCTACAGTGAATAGCTAAGTGTACAATTAATTAATTCAGTTACCATAGTATCTCCGTGTGAAATTTCTTTGCGTATCTCTCCCCTTGAGAACGTTTCGCATTTTTTCTTACAAATAATCCCCGAAAACTGTAACCGTTGCTGACTAGGTTTCCCATCGTTGATACGCGAAGGATCGTTTAAAAACGGCCCGCAGTCTTTTGCAGCTTTAACGGCCCGCCAGTTTTTTCGATGGCGCACGCAAACGCGCGGCGGGTCGGTCGACCATGCTTGAAAACGCCCTTAAGGGTGGGACAGCGGTTCGAAAGCCGGGTGGACGGAAAAGGGACAGGGGAGGCTGGGCCTCGTTCGGTGCTTGGAATCGGGGCCCCACCCCTACGTGCCCAAAAATCTCACCCCCAGCCAATGTCGACCCCAGCCAGCGCTACCCTCCTCCTCCTGTACGAAATACGTTACTTCACCCCACGCGCAACCCTCGTTGGCCGTAGTTTCTCGCGCAGGAGGTCTACGGGTAGCCATGGCAGAGTCAACGTCTCCCTCCATCGGAAAAAAAGTGCAAGGACCGTAGTCCAAGTCCGGTACCCTATAATTTAATGCTTCGAAACCGTACGCGACCGTCACCTCCGTCCGAACTCAGCAATTGTCGCTTGTAACTGTACATAAAAATTGCAAGAAAGTCACGGAGTAGCCGTGGAAGAGTTGTTTCGCTCTCCGTCGATGAAACACGCAAAGCTCGTTACTCCAAGTGGCTGATCCAGAACCAATCCAGAACTAATCCAGACCTAAGCCGGTACCTTTATTTAACCTTTGAGATTCAGGAATTAAGGCACGACGGACTCTCACGTAAGCTTGCGTTCCTCTTCTGTATCTGCGACAATGTGAATTTCCATACGGCTGACCATTGACTCGGTTTTTAGGGGTGCATCGAAAGCGGGGTGATGACCATTTCGATGAGCGAAATGGTATCCTAGAGGAGGTTTGACGAATGCAACGAAGGAAGGGCGACGAGGGCAAGGTAAAAGGAGGTAGAGCGAAGGGGTGGCGCAGCGATGGATAAAAAGAGGGCTGCTGAGAGAGCAGAGGGGACGACCAAGAAACAAGGGAGACTGTGAGAAGGCGGGGAGAGACAGAGAGACAGAGACAGAGACAGAGAGAGAGAGAGAGAGAGAGAGAGAGAGAGAGAGAGAGAGAGAGGGGAGGTCAGGATAGAGAAAGAGATAGAAAGGAAAGGTAGGGGGATCGAAACGGCGACTCAGTCCATCTGTCCGGTGTTTTGTCCAAGCGGCGGCAGAGGTACTAGACAAAAACTCACCTAACCCTTCCTTGATTACAATGCCAGCAAAAAGCGAAATACTAACCGCTGCCGCCGCCGCCGCCGCGCGAGAACGGTCGCTTCTAAGAAACTAGACCCGTTTTTGCGTAGCATCGGAAGAGCGTCCGCACCCGTGAGCTATCGGACAAAGAACCTATACCACTCGTTCGCTCTCACCCTCCGGGCTCCTCCTCGCCGTCCGACCGAAACTCCTTTACCCTGGACCGGCGGCGCACCCAGTACTCCAAGAAGAAGGTTGCTGGTAAAAGTTTCAACTATCGTTCGATCGGTCCAGTTCGCATTAATATATAACACGATTTCTACTGCTCTAGATCACGTGGATGGGAGATCTATATTGGCCTGTTTGGATTCCCAAGTCCGCCAGGAACACCCCGATTTTCTTTGGCTATCCAGCTAGCCAGTCGCGGCGGCCTGGTCCTCTTCTTCTTCTTGTTCTTCTTCTTCTTCTTCGCCTGGACGTTTCATCGAGCCCACACCTCCACCCGCCTCCATTACGTACAAGGACTTATCGATCCTTGAAGCGTTCGCCCGTGTTCCCGAAGGAAATCTCGCGCTTCCTTCGAGCGGAACCGTTCGCTTCGCGAACCTAGCGGAACCTGCGCTATCTTCCTTACTTATCGGTCACGCGCGAGTCGGGTCCGTTTTATTATCTTAGAATTAGTTCAGAGCAACGGGCCGGGCTGTCGTCCGGTCGTCGCACGAAAAACGAACGTGGATAGCGCGGAGAAAAGTCGAACGCGGCGTCGAAGGGGATCTCGCGATTCCCAGGGAGGCTGAGGAAGCCAGGATAGGATCAGGTTTTTCTTGGCGCGTCCCTGGTGCGCGCGGTATTGGATGTTATGCCGTGGCGACTCTGGCTCCAGCTCGCGTACGTGTTCCCCGCTGACAAAAACGATTATCCGCTGCCAAAAAAGTTGTTATGTAAATGTACTGCCTGGCCTAGACTGTCGGTCACAAGTATACCCTACTGCGCGACCGGAGGACGAGGGCCACCGATAGGAAGGCGTCCTATTCAAAAGCGAATCAACAACGCCGTGGATAGGCTCGCTTCTGGGTTACCGTCTCCTTTCCGCGTTCGAACTTGTCCGAATCAACTACCCTCGCAGGCTCGCTGTGTATTCGATTCAGGGATACTTTTTATTTCGCCACGTGGACGGTTTAGCGTCCGGCGCTTTCCTTTCTCTTTTCAACCACGGCTCCGAATCTCTATGCTTTTGTTAACGCTATGCCGTCCGCGCATCGTTTCGAGGTCCTTGGGAGACAATAAGTGCAAGATTTATTTCTATCGTACATTTATTTACATTTTCTTGAATAATTGGCACGCAGCGCGTGGCACCGCGCTGGTGCCACCGGGATTCGCCCGATAGTTCGGATCGATCGCGTTGTAGGCTTCGCGATTGCCGATGATCGTTCAGGATGGCCGGTAGCGCTGTCTCGTTAGAAGGTATTGCCGTCCCTTCGGTTGTCCTGGTAGCAGGGGCCAACGTCAGAAAAATCTCGCGGAGCAAGTCACCCCGCTGCTGTCAGGGACTTACCCGTATCTCGGTCGGTGTATAAGCGTGAGACCGGGCCTCAGGTTCGTAATAAGACCTGACGGCCAGGTTTTTCAGCCCCCGGCTCTACCGTATTGCTCCGTATCTCCTTCTGCGTTTCTTCTCTCTTTCCTTCTCTCTTGGCTTCCTGTCTCTCGCTCTCTCTCTCTCTCTCTCTCTCTCTCTCTCTCTCTCTCGCGCGTCACATCTCTCTCTCTCATTTTCTCCTTTCATCCCCTAGGTTATCTCCCTCTTTCAACGTCTCACCGCGTCTCCGTTCGCATCGTTTTAATTTCTGTCTTGCCCTCTCCGTCGCGCGTCGCCTCTTTTCTTCGGGACACTCTCGCTGCCCCCGTCGCGACGTCTGATGCCATGCCAGCGGTACCGGTATTAATTTATACGCTGTACGTGTGTGCACGCCACTTTTTCTCGCAGTTCCTCGAAATTTGCAAGAAACTAGTCGGACACCCTGGCGACTCGACCGCCAGCCGCATACGTTCCTCCCGGTATCCTCTTTGCTGAACGTACCTCGACGAAGAAACGATTGCGACGCATCAAAGGGATAAGTAATCGTTTCGTGTTCAGCTACCCCTTGTTACCTTCGGCTTTACGCTTTTTTTTTTTTCTTTTCTCTCAACTTCGAGCCGCTACCTGCGTCGAAGGAACACGGTACCAAACTGGGAGAAATGTCGCTAGGAAAATATATTTGTTCGGTTTGTCTCTATATTACTCCGATTCGAAATACATCATAAATTTGTGTACGTCATTTGCTATCCTTCCGTGGACTATTTAGAAAAGAAATCGTATTGCAACAATCATTTGAATAAACCTGTATCGCATGGTTTCAGTGGTGCAGACATCCGTCCCCCAGAATGAAGCAGAACTGCAGCTGTACAGAGTCATGCAGCGTGCTTCCCTGTTGAGCTACTACGACACGCTCTTGGAAATGGGTAAACCTTCTCCGTCTAGTTTCAAACAAATTCAACTATCGATGTCAACGTAGCAATTTTAACTTGCGTCAATTATTCCAGGTGGCGACGACGTGCAGCAGTTATGCGACGCCGGCGAGGAGGAGTTTCTAGAAATCATGGCATTAGTTGGTATGGCGAGCAAGCCTCTACACGTCAGAAGGCTGCAGAAAGCCCTCCAGGAGTGGCTCACGAATCCTTGTAAAGTATCCCGTTACCATCCGTACATTGGATAAAATAATTAACATTGTCCATACATTGGATAAAGTAATTAACATTGTCGCGTGCCACAGCACTTTTCCAGACGCCAGTGGTACCGACGAGCGCTACGTGCAAGAATCCTGCAGGCATAGGGTTCCCGTGCGTCAGTCCTAGGCCTCAAGTACAAAATCTTCAGGGTTTCACGACAAGCTCGCAAACGCCTACCCCAACGCCGTACGTCTCGTCACATGTATCCCTAACGCCATTGCCGTGCAGAAGCACCAGTCCCATTGTTTCGGTCACGAGCGTGACCGCACCGGTTCCCTCGACCACTTTTCGTCAGAGCCCAAGCCCTAACGCGCCTCTGGCTTACGCAGCCTCTCACAGCCCTGGGGTACTACAGGTACGCCAGGTTTCAATTGATATATATTCATATTTGATTCGCGCGATGCAAGATTGAATACTTCATTGAGATGATTCTGTTTTTGCCAGGTAGGAACGTGCGAGTCTTCCTGCGGCAGCGGCACGACGCCAAGTCCTAGCGACGGCGGTGGTGCACCTGCGAGTCCCACGCAACCGACACCCACCCTCTTACAATCGCAGATACAAAGACTCGCCGAGGCAGCCGAAAGGCTTGCCGCTACTATTCGACCTGTGGACCCAAAGCCTCATAACGTGAAGAAGAAGATTTGCAAAAATCTAGAGGTGAATGGACGCGGTACAATTGAAGAGTTTATTCGTTTCTTTATATTACGCTGTATTGTTTTTAGATGGTAATGGCTATGCCTGATAGCGATCCGCGCAGAATGGAAGAGATTCGAAAGTACGCGGCGATTTATGGGAGGTTCGACTGTAAAAGGAAGCCAGAGAAACCGCTGACGTTGCACGAAGTGTCGGTAAACGAAGCTGCCGCGCAAATTTGCAGGTTCGTACCTGCCCTTCTTACTAGAAGAGACGAACTTTTTCCTTTGGCCCGACGTGTTGTGAGAGATTCTGGGTATCATTATTCGAAAAGTCATTAGTAAGTACCTTCAGCTCTTATCAAATGTTGTTAATTGAAAATAAATACAAGCAAGAGTGGATTGCGATAGGAACAGTGGCGGAAACCAATGTTTTATTAAGACATGAATTCAATCGCATTCTTTAGATACATAAAGAGTTTACGTAACATTCATTTCTAAATCGATGTACGACGATTCATGTTCGAAATGCTTTAGCTTGTCCGTATCAAGGCTGCGTGAAAATGGCGAAGAAAATGAGAGCGATCATACGAAACGACAAAAGCTCGAACTCGAGGGTGAGAATGAAGATGTGACGCAGGTTAGCTCACCGCGACCATAAGAATAAGCCACGTGAGGGTCGTTCCAGTTCAAAGTCGTCACAGACTTAGGGCGAGGTCAGGGATTTTGATACTTGTTAATCCCAACATTTTCTGTGCATTAGTATAGGATAAGGAGCAAATCGAACTCGTATCTTTCTTTTAATTTATATAAAATGAGATTTTATTATTAGTATTACACCATTCAATTACATGTACATCCGTGATACATTTTCTAAATTATAATGTTTAATATCTAGACGTTAAAACGTCGATTCAACCGACTAAAATGTATCATAATTTCGACAGATAGTAACTTTAAGAATGATTAGCTAATAACCATGTAGAAATATCTACAGACACGTTCGTTTTTCCAAGGGAACTAATATTACAAAATGTACTATGCATCCTAAATAGACACAGAGAAGCATACTTCAAAATCCTTGATTGGATCCCCGATTTGTGATAGCTTCGATCTGGGATCGTTGGCCTATTAACGAGCTACTCGCATGAGCGCTAACCACTAATACGCATCCAGCACGTAGACAATTGCAACACTTGCGCAAACTACCAATCGCAGCCAGAAAAGGTCAAGTATAGCTTTTGCATAACATGCATGGCTTTGCACGCAAATTAAACAAATCATTAACAATTAGTTATCGTAATTGTAAAATATTCTGTTTATAATTGTACCATCTTAGAAGATATTCAAATTTTTATTTTAAATGTAGAGTAAGCTATGATAACATTATTATTATTATTATTATTATTGTAATTGTAACACTTTCTTTCACACTCGTTAGGATTCGATGCTTCGTTCCTAGTGTCCTCACGAGTCGTGTACGCTTCCTTCTTTCTTTCCAATATTTATAATTACGCCAATTGTGTTAGTAATAAATTCATCTTTTTTCTGTGGTTTTTCGTGCTGTGTTTGCCATTTCTACTGTCTTTAGCAGTTCACTGTTCTAGGAGGAGTTGGACCTTCGCTGTTCCGAGATGGATATTAGCAACTCGACGCGCAGGAGACATCAGTCGTCGAGGTGATTCCTCATTGTACCTCGATTATTAAATGCAGTATGACCTTTTCAAGAGATAGGTAATCAATTTTTCTACGAGTACGTATTGATATTTAGACGTTTGTTTTAGTCCAGTTTGGAGGAAGAAGAATAACAACGGTATGTTTAGCGCGAGTATCGAAGAGATCAGTGATTCCGATAGTCAACTTTCGTTTTCCAATGAGGAATCTTCGTCCATACATGTAAATACAAGAAATTAAATATATCTATGTCATAATTATTATAAATTATTTTTTCTCAGAGTATTTAACGCGCCTTTTAGTTGATTAAAATTATTAAACGCTTATTTATAGGACACTCACGAAGCTGAAGCAGATATTACCGATAAAGAAAGTGACTTTAATCTGAAGGTGTGCTTTTATTTCATCATTAATTTTCATGGCATTGATTGTGAATTTCATGAACAATTTGGATTCAGGTGATAGCCTCGCGCGGGGACAATATTATCGCGGTAGCGAATCCTGCACTGATGGAATGCAACCATCCTATAAAAGAGGAACCAACAGACGAGAAACCTACACTGTGATATCATTACAGAATGTATTATTAGGTCGAGATCATTCCAACATGTTAGAACTTACGTATTACGATTAGTATTATCATTATTTCTATTTGATTGTTACGATACTTAATATTATTATACTTACACCAACCATTGCTATGATTGTAAAAACCTGTTTAGTAATCTTTAACATCGGAATTGATAAGATTCATCGTTATGTTTGTAAAATTAACAAGGTTACGTTAATACAACGCATCGCATACTTTTAATCAAATCTTAATACACGTTTTAAAGTATAAAGATAGCTTTAGGTATTGTATAAACCGAAATCAAAACAAAGTACGACTGAAATATAGTTACGCATTGTATAACAGTTAAACTTGTAAATATATAAAGAACATTTTCTATTGTATGTATCGAATTTTTAGACAAATTTATACATTCTTATTGTTTAACCAGCATAAAATTAATAAATATATACCAACCACGTTTCTTATTTTTTTAAATAATAAAAGTACTTTAATTATGCCAGAATTATCATATTATAAATTCCTTGATATTTCTAAAAAAAACGATTAAACGTAGATATATAGTTACGAATAGTTGAGTAATTACACAAAAAATAAATTAAAATTTCTTTGAAATCACAAATTGAAAAATTGACGCGATCATATATATTCACCAATTAATTACTATCGATTATGAACGATAAATTCGACAAAATGTTCGTGTTAAATCTAGCAATTTAATAACGTTTCAATTTGTAGGTTATGTTTGTTTACACTTATGGACGTGCACGTGCGTAACGTTGTCACTCGAGTTAACACAGTTTCTTTGGAAAAATGGCTCTGAAAACGAAGAAAAGCTTAGCTGATAAAATAAACTCTCTGATTACTACAACTCCAACGAATTTTCAATCAGACGACGATGCAGAGGACACAAAGGCTAAAGTAGTTGACCCTTATGAAGAGAGTGACAATTCAGAGAGCAATTTCCAGGTATCAGAAATACGCAGACGAAACGTCGATACCTTAGATCAGGTAGATAAAAGGTGAATATTACAGTTTTTTTATTGATCTATAATTGGCTTGCTCTATGGGGTGGACCCTGTTCATATTTATCATTTGTATCCCAGGTACATAGGTAGAAAAGTTTCGAGGAAGGATGTATATGTTACTGATGATAGTGCTGATGATGTATCAGAAGATAAAGAAGAAGAAATGAATAGTACAGAAGAAGAAGAGGAAGAAGAAGAAAATGATAATAATGTAGACAGTAATGATAGCAATGACTATAGCCAAGATGACCACAATAATAATGATGATAGTGAAAGTTACTACTCGGATGAGGAATTAAGCAATGAAAGTTTCAGACAATCTTCTGAAGATGGATCTAATATAGAAGACAACGATCCTGAAAATAAAAATTTTAATACAGATCAGAGGGCAGGATTTCAGACGATATCGCACACGAATCTTAAAGCAGATATTGACAAAGGCAATTGCGTTAGAAGTCAGTTGAAACTTTGGGAAAGTTTGTTAGAGATGAGAATAAAGCTACAAAAATGTCTGATTACTAGCAATAAAATGCCCCAACACGACGCACACGAAATTTTAAAAGATGTAGATTATACGAAGAAAGTGGAGGAGACCAAAAGCAATTTAAAATTGCTGTTAAACAACTTGTTGCAGTTGCAAAATCTTTTCCTAAGGCAGTATCCAGAAACGAAGAATTTATCGGCGCAGAGTAAAAAGAGGAAAGCTGAGGAGAGCATAGATAAAGAAGAAATAAATGAAGACGAAGACGAGGAAATTCCATCGGATACAGAAGACGAAGATGAGAAGGAGACATCGGTTTCGAGAGAAAATGCAGACGAAATCTCCAAAAATGTATTCATCAAGAAACTGAGGCTCGATAATTACGAGAAAATATTAAACGAAAATCATAAATTGTACACAGAGTACAGAAACTCTGTCATACAAAAGTGGAACGAGAAGACGAGAATAGCTAGCGGTAAATTGGACAAGGCTATGAATCAAACGACGTTGAAACAAATAGAATTCGCGTTAAGCGACAAAGAAAAATTGCGCAAGAGAACCCAACTGAAACGTTCGGAATACAAAATCATTGGCAAAATGGATGTAGCAGAAAATGAGAATGATGGCAGAAGAATTCAAGAGTACGATTCTGAGATCTACGACGACGACGATTTTTATCATCAACTACTAAGAGATTTGATCGAGTACAGATCAGCTGATATCACCGACCCCATACAACTTAGCAAACAGTGGATTCAATTGCAAAATATGAGAAGTAAGATGAAGAGGAAGATAGACACGAGAGCTACCAAGGGCAGGAGAATACGATACAATGTACATAATAAGTTAGTAAACTTTATGGCCCCCATTACGATAAACGATACGTGGACAGATCATGCTAAAGATGAATTGTATAATTCTTTGTTTGGCAAAATTAAATCGACAAGTGTAGAAGCTGGTCGTTAACATTGGAACAATCGATAAAATTTCGTTTAGTTTTATATGATTGAATACACTATTTTACAGGATGTGTATATGTAAATTTTGTAATGAAAAGCGGTTAATAAATATTTATAGATACCATTGAACGTAATGGATAAAAAATAGAACTAAAATAGAAATACCGATTAGAATAGATAAATAGATCGAATAATAATAAATGATTGAAAGAACGTCGCAAACATTGTAGTAATTGTTTACTGTAATGGGTAAACACGAATGAGTTTCTTTTCTCACAATTAGATGGTACCATTTATATTGTGTATATCACATTATGGTAATATATCGACACTCGAGGTCAAACTTGGGCGTTTCACCACCGAGGGCGCTGACCGTTTTAAAATTCCTAACCTATATGATTATAATGAATATAATGATGCTATTGATACTTTAGAGATGCATTTCATACTGTTCTATACGTGTTTACCTATTGCAGTAAACAATTGCATCAATGTTTGCGACGGTCATTCAATGAAATAAAGGCTTGTGTCTCAAAAAACTACTAACAATGCCTGAACGAATTGAAATTGGTTAGTAAAACAATGTCACGAGTTATTTGTATGTCTGTTACTTATTTCGGCTACAATGTTTTTCATAAATCGTATTTATAGGTGTCATCCCTGACAATTTACGGCACGAGGAGACTATCGTGCAGATAGCAGAAGCCCTCGATGATCTTGACTCTGCTGTCTCTTATATATTCGAGTGTATCGACAAGAGATTACACGAAAACAGCCAAAGGTAATCCTTTCTTCAACTAACCCTTTACTATCTCTTTGCATCCTCAAGAACTACTCTAGTACTACTACTTTCTTTCCACAGGTTGTCGAATGTTAGAAACCGAGCAACAAAGCTTCAAGATCGGTTGCATTACTTGCAGACCAATTTAAACTTGAAAGCTGTAAAGATGTACTCTGCTGCCAAGTATCCTGCTAATCACACGTACAAGGAATACGAGATGGCGATACCACCCAAGTACAAGGACACTCGCGAAATACCGGAGATTTACAAATGCTCCGTGCCAATAAAAGAAGTACCCGAAACGTACTTATCCTCCAATTGTAAAACAGAGGATGGTCAATACGCGGCAAATAACAATTTGCAAGAGAAGCTGCAATTCTTTCACGTGCGAGCCAAAACGAATAAAGAGGCCTATATGGATAACAACGAACCATCCTTTCCTCTCAGTTTGTCTTCGATCAGCGCACTCTTATTCGATAGTATGGATAATCCTTACAAAATATCAACAAAGCAAACCAGTCAACAAACATCCGAAAAACAACAGATCGAAGATGCCCCTGACTCGATTATACAACCGTGGCCGACATCGGAAATGGAGTCCTCCTCCAATTACATGTACACGCCAACTTTAGGCGAGGTAAACTATTCAAAAATATTGCATAGTTATTAAAAAGTAATATATAATATAATATAATCGATAAAAGTGTACAGCAGAAAGTATCGATACAATTTACTTTGCAGGTGCCCCAAATAAACGTGCCCCTAACACTGCCAGATCTACCTGGAATCGTAGACGACGAAAAATTCATGTTAGACCTTAACGCTCAAAGCCCTATCGCACCCTCTTCCGTAGTAACTACGCCTACCTACCTCCGTCTCGACTTTCCAACCCCAACGTCAGCCACAAACGAGAAAGAAGCAAGCACGAAGCTCGAGCAGAACGTGCCAAACCTCCCTGGCTTCGCAGACATCGATTCCTCCAAGCAATCTGCTCAGGATTCAACAGCTACTTCGTCGACGCACGTTTCCTCCGATGCATCGAACGCAGTTTCTTCGAATTCTGAGACAAGTCATCGTTCATCGCTGTTAATGCCTCCACCACCGCAGCCACCTCCACCACCGTCGCTGCTACCACCGCCGCCACCACCCCCTCCGCCTCCACCACCGCCACCGCCACCGCCACCACCGCCTCCTCCACAGCCCTCGTCAGAGTCCGACGTTCCGGACTCTCGGAAAGACTCTGAAACGAGCAAAGCTCCCAAGGAGAAGAGCAAGCCAGCGAATCCTGACGATCGCTCCAATCTAATGGCTGAAATCCGCAACGCGGGCGGCATAGGAAGAGCAAAATTGAGGCGAACAGTGCCAGAAGATAAAGAGAATCGCTGGTCTTCCGCGTCCGTCGGAGGAGATCTAATGGCGGACTTGCACGCGAAGCTAGCGCTTAGGAGAAAAGGGATCGCTGGCTCAGGAACCACTGCTCTGGAGAGGATGTCCAACATGATTCCACCCCCTCCTCCAAAATCAAACGAAGCTACCGCGTCGGACAGGAACTCAGCCACCAGCGAATATGACTCTCAACCGGATACAGACGACTGGGACGAGTAATACATTCCCAGAATCGTTGTGTTCAATTTTCTACGTTCTTTAAATTACAAGGGAAAAATCGCAGATGAACGGTATCCTAAATGAAACCTCAACCGGACCTGGGAGCTGCGTGCAATTTATTTTAGAATGTAATTATTAAGATTGTTTTGTAGCGTTATTACGAAGCAGATATTTTAAATTGAGTGTAGATTTGCTTTGCAATGAACGTTTCACTCGACACGATTCGATGTAACAAATAGTTCTCTCTTGCTCTTCTTTGGCAAAATATTTATAAGATATTGGGTTTTTATTCTTAATCTTAATAGGAATCTTGTTAAAGATTAAAATTCATTAGTGTCGTTGTTTTACTCTTAGACTTATTCCAGTTCATCCTTGAATAGGTTTGTTAATTTATAAATGGTCTGCAAGAGATCTTTGTGCAAAATAAAATCTTTGCAAACGTACCTACAAAAATTACGAATTTATTCGATATTTTGTTATATCATTACATACTGGGTAATACCGAGCATACTTACAGTTTATTGTACGTTCAAATTTCCTGTAAATGTATAAAAGTCTTATATTTTTTTTATATAATATTCAACGTGCAGGAAAATTTAAAATGAGTTTCCCCTGGAAACCAGCACTTTTATGAAAGGATGTTCATCATTATTGTCGCATATTCCCGAAAGTATAGCAACGACAGAAACATATTGATGTAGTTATCGGTTCCGATTTAACTCTTGACCCCAGATACCAGAGAGTCTACGCTTGTGAATCTCAGTGGACTCGCGGAATTCGTAGCTCTTGCTCGACAGTTGTCGCTTTTTTGACAACAAGCTTAGTCGGTAGAGATCTAATTAATTAACATGTTCCACGATTAAAATGGTTCTTTAAACGCCGATCAGTCTCGATCCGTCGAACGAGGGATGTTTCAGATGACGGAACATCGTCAGGGTTCCCTCGCGAGTATAAACGTAATATACAAATACACATCCACGTGTCCCAAATATCTAACGGTCTCGAAGGATAAAGGGACTCGATTTACAGCTAAACGTCGGGACAAAGAAAGCTCAAGATTCACATGGAATATTTGGGACTACGAGGAACACAAAGGAGATAATTTTAATGATTACACGTATCACGGAGGATTACGGAGCAACAGCGATTTATCGAGTACGAGCAAGCGGAAGTAAAAGTAAAAGACGTTTGTAAAGTTGCAATACAAAAGAAAAGAGGAAGTCGTGGACGAATAATCGAATGAAACGCACTTTTAGCGATGTTTCGATTCAATACGGATGATAAATTGATCAAATTTATAGGGGAAAAAACGGATAAAAAGAAAAAGATGGAAGGCGATTTTTGTAGCATCCACAACGTGACCAAAGTGCAAATTAATAATGTGTTGTCTTGAGCTAGTCAGTGGTCTTTTAAAGTTCGGCGAGGCAAGTTATACGTATTCTAAAGAAAGAACGTTTAATAAAAATGCGACGCTTGAGTAGCTTCAATCTAAATTAACAATGATATAACACGTATATAATTAATCCTTCTGATTACTAATAAAAACTACATTATTTTGTATCGATTTTATAACCGAGTCTATCGTTTAAATAGTGCCACCTCTGAATACTGGGATTCCCCTTGAAAATCTAATTTTTCTAGGATCTACTCACAAGAATCTCATCGAGATCGATTACTCAAAGGTCCCCTAATGTTACATGTACATCGTAATTTCATAAAAAGTGAAGCAATACCCGATCCTAATTGGTTTACTAGGATTTTTGAAACTTTAACAGCATGGGGAGCACGGTTAAAATCCCAATTTCAGGGGAACTACCCAATTCGAGGACGAACAATACAAACAACGTGGAGTTGCCTATCGATATGCGTTTTAACGAAGGCCACGTTGTTAGCATAATCATTTACAGCGTGTTGATGATAATATCCGCCGTGGGGAACACAACAGTTTTAGTGCTAATTACGCGACGCAAACGTGCGTCCAAATCGAGGATACACGTAATGCTGATGCACCTTGCGATTGCAGATTTACTTGTAAGTTACAGAATAATAAAAATAAAATAAAATCTTGCAAACGTAGAACGTAGTACAAAAGCAAACTTCCAGGTCACTTTCCTCATGATGCCCCTCGAGATCGGTTGGGCCATCACGGTGTCCTGGAAAGCAGGGGATGCTATGTGCCGAATAATGGCTTTCTTCAGAGTGTTTGGCTTGTACTTGTCATCCCTAATTTTGGTGTGCATAAGCATGGACAGGTTGGTATAATTCCCATAGAAATTCTTCTCTTCCTTCCTTTTCTTCTTATACTACACGTATAAGGGAAGCATTCTCTGCATCCTCTGCATCCTCTACAATAAAACAAAAAATTAACATATATATATTAGCGTTCTCTAAATCTCAGTTTTACTCAACAAATTTCGTAACGTTTTATTTCAGATATTACGCCATAATACGGCCCCTCCAGCTACGGGACGTCGACAAGAGAGGAAAAATCATGATATGCCTCGCCTGGGTGGGATCCATCGTATTCTCCATGCCTCAGGTACAACAGCACTGTCGTTATTTTATTTCGTATAAGTGCAGATACCTTTTCGTTATATTAGTTTATATCGCAAATGCATAAAATCCGCAGTTCGCTTATTACACGTTGCTTTTAGATGGTAGTGTTTCACCTGGAGACCCATCCAAACATCACCTGGTACTCGCAGTGCGTCACGTTCAACACATTTCCAACGTACACTCACGAAGTAACGTATTCTCTGTTTGGAATGGTCGTAATGTACTGGTTTCCTCTCATCGTGATAATATACACTTACACCAGCATTCTGTTGGAGATATGTAAGAGAACGAAGAAGAGCGAGCACGGTGCGTTCGAGTTTAGTTTCAGTTTATATTAGAAGCAGGGTATAAATAAACATTTAAGAAACTTTAACGAATTTCAGACAAGATTCGTCGCTCGTCTATGGGTTTTCTAACCAGAGCTAAAATACGAACTCTGAAGATGACTGTGATCATTGTCGCTGTGTTCTTCATCTGCTGGACGCCGTACTACATTATGAGTCTTTGGTAAGCGTTTCTTAGCGATACACTGCGGATTTTTATGTATTTATAAGAAATTTAAATGTCCAAGAAACTATAAAATGTTTTTTTATCCGTGGTATAAACTGTAACCTTTCAAATCATACAACATTGAGTAACATAAAATAAGCGTTTCAGGTATTGGATCGACCGGCACTCCGCGTACAAAGTGGATCAACGAATTCAAAGAGGCCTCTTCCTGTTCGCATCCACCAATTCCTGTATGAATCCCATCGTTTATGGTGCGTTCAACATACGAGACCGCAACAAGGTGATTATTCTTCCTTTTCTTCTTAATCAATTCAAAAATAAATGTCCTTGAACGCTGCACGTTTCCTTCAGGTATCTGTACGGCCAACTACGTTGGAAACTCGGGTCACCCCGTTGTCTTTGTCGCTCAGACTTCTGGATTGATGACGTTTATGGAAAGCAATATAAACGTTACAATGTCGAGTCGAATCGTTGGCACAAAAGTCGACTGTAGTAAACTACGTGATAAATAGAAATAATACAAGAGTGTTCAGAGTCGAAGATGGAAGAATCAAAGTATAGAGTATCTAAATAATAATAAATTATTGAATTTCTAACGTCTGTATCGCGAAGCGTTCATTAGACAAAGAATAAGAGCTTAGTAAGTAAGGTACCGATGAGATTATTTTTCTACGATAAGAAATGTTAGTGAAATAAGAATTATGGTGATCTGAGAGAGTTAAAACACGGGTTATTATGACAAACTGTTATATTTGCTCCGTTTTATTGGTACATTGTCTTTGAAAAAACATTCGTTACGTCTTTTTTACATTATGCTAAGTAACTTCTTGCCTGAATGTATGTGTTAAACAATTAAAGAAGAAAAAAAAAGGATTACAAAACTACACCAGCGAACATGCTCTTTCAGTAGGAAACAGTCAAAAATGGAAGCACACGTTCTCGATCCACTACAAACTGGTTTTTCAACGTGTATGTACATTCAAAACGATTCTTATAGGATAACAGTCTTCTCTTTTTACTTCGAATGCAAGGCGTGTTCGATCGCGAGAAAAGTGACTCTCGAGAATTGATTGGAAACGATAAGAGCGAAATTTCATTTACATCACAGGACAACGTGTGAAAAGATATTGAACTTTGGCGTAATAATTTCATTGAAGATTGTAAATCATTGAGTATGCGTGTTCGAGTATAAATATTACGAAATAATCTCCGTTGTAAAAAAAACGATGAAACCATGCCCATTGTTTACAAATTATGAATCTTATTTTAATAGTGTTATAAATTATGCAGCACCGGTATTCTGCGAATGTTTACAACTATGATTGCGGTCTTTATGCATTCACGACGTACGATATAGAAAGCATACATAAAGTACACGCAATATACATTGAATACATTTTATGTACAATTAATATAACAATCATGTTATTTCATTTTGCAGAAGCGTACATACCTGTTGGGCATGTTTACCATGCGTTTATTACACCGGTTTATATCGTAAATGCATAAAATCCGCAGTCCAACGTCTCGGAAATGAATCGATCGTATAATTTTTCTCGAATATTCGCGATAAATGTACAAATAACGTACCTTAATTACAGTTTGTTGCGTATAAGGAATAATAGTCGATGCGTGAATGAAGTTTTTAAAGTACCCAATTTGGTGTAGAATGCAAAGATTCCTCTGGTTTCTTCACCACCGTGGGTGAATCTTATGGAAAGACCATTGCTGATACGTGTTGTTCACGTCGCATGGCATTAGGGACAACTGTTGAGTTTGAGGATGGAGCGCCATACATTTCTTGTGGACTCTGTGCAGGAGTGTCTTCGTTTTCTGAAAGATTAACAGTTCAAGTTTAAAGTAAACACTGCAATTCTTTAATTATTTAATTATATTTTTCTATTCTTACTTCGTCATACTGCCAGGGACCGTCCACGGTCCCTAACCGGCAGAACACGTATTTTATTCCTTGGCCGTCAGCGGACACGCATCGTTCTCCTATTCCCAATTGACCCTTCGTGTTCAATCTAACCAACTGAACAATGTCGTCTCGTAAGCCACAGTTTATAAATAAGTATAGTCGGCTTCCTTAAACGTAAACGAAGAATACTCACCTGATTGTTACCAAATCCGTGACAGTGGGACGTGGCCATTAAACTGGGGGGCGAGTTGCCCATAGTGTCCAAACACGTACCTGTCGCCACGTTTCGTAACTGAAATACAAAAATAATTATGTAGAAACTCCTTCCTATAGAAATCTAAGCATGTACGTCGTGTAAAATATTCAGAATTACCTCTCCCCAATGAATGTTGGGTGGTAACTCTGGAAATTTATCGAAGACATCGTAAGCCACGTTCTCCATGTACCACTGGAAACTTTTACACTTCTTTCGTTTTTTGAACAGCAATTGTTCCGTTATGTCGCCGTGATCGAGTAGCTGAGCCAGAGGCTCCCTCGTGTAAAAGAATTCCTTGTACTTGTCGTCGAACCAGGTTTCGATGACTCTTTTATAATTCTACAAATAAATTCGAAGGGATATTTGTATCTATGCCACGATGACACAGCGTGCAGTGTTAATAGAACGCTTAAAAATTATTTCCTTAAAAGTTCGCTTAACCTTTTGCACTCGAGATGCTTTCTTAGCATTCTATTGCCACGGATGTTAAGCCTAAGATTACCTCTTTACCTCATCGACATCTTCGAGTTCCAAAGAAATGAAACCTAAACAAACATTACATCGCTTGCGTTACTGCATCACGTTAAGATGCGACCAAGAGTCACCCTCTCGAGTGCAAGGAGTTAAAAATTATCGTCTCCCTTACTATGGTTATCAGCGGTCCCTTCTTCTTCTGAGCCAATTTGCCAAACGTGTAAGGCATAAATCCTCTGTACACATGGCCAACGTGCGAGCACGGTACCCACAAGATACTTCCTCCGCACTGCCATATCTTAAACGACAACTCAAAGTTTTCTCCGCCCCAAACGAGCAATCCGTCGTCGTATCCGCCCAACGACAAGAAGTACTCGCGATTTATCGCAAACAAACCACCAGCGTGAGTAGGGGACCTGAATCAAGTTTTGCCCAATGCGTATTCGCCAAATACTTTCTTACTGACTGTCTAAGAATGTCTTTTTTAATACGAATTACTTGTACGGCATGCTGTTGTAAGGTCGGGCCTTCTCCTCTCGAGGGGGAAGTTCGTTTTCCTTGTACAACATTCCCCATTCGAAGATGCCTCGATATAAATGTCCTTCTCTGTACACAGGCCGATATTCGAAGGTCTTATGGTCGATACCATCTATTATGGGAACCGTCATTACAGTTCTAGAAATATTCAAGCGGTAATTAAAGACATAACGTGTTAATTAATCGGTTGGTTGAGAAATTAACATTGGCTGATGCTTCCAGGTGCTGTGGCTTTCGAGGGAGAGATTACCTGTCTGCAGCTATAGGAGCTAGAAGGGGTGGTAGCCAGTTAACGTTTACTTCGCAATGAGCATCCAGGAATACTATCACTTCGCCCTTAGCCTCGCGCGCACCGCGTGATCTCGTTCTTATCAATCCTTGTCTTTCGTAATTTCTTATCAATTTTACTTTGCCTCCCCATTCTTCTATGTAAGATTCCAGTTCACCTTTCAAATTATCTGTACAAACGCGTATCAATGATTTTCAAGTAAGCAGCGTTTCCCTTCTCTGCGTCATATGACAAAATACAGTCTCTATTTTAATTACACAATTATACAAAATCTACCTTTATCGGAGAAATCGTCTACGAGCAAGATTTCTTCTAGAAATTGAGGAGGGGTACGATTCATCACACTGTGAACAGTTCTCATTAATACCGACCAGCCTTCGTTGTGAAATACTATAATTACGCTCGTTCGAGGTAGTACCTCTGGATAATTCCAATGTTTACATCTGTCGATTAAACGCATGGACATTGTATTAACTTAAATTCACGAGACTTTGAACTAGTTATCGCATTCAGAATGGCAGGAATACTTATGTTTCTCTTTTTTTTTTTTGTTTAAATGTAATCGTGAAAAATAGGTTGTGCCATCCTGACTGCATTAGTAAAGGAGGAATGACATTAATGAAAACTCACTGAGGCATTCTTGTATCGGGAATCGATCTGTCTAACGAAATTTCATCTGAACATACCATGTTCATTCCATATTCAGAATCTGATTGCTGAACGTCGTTCTGTTGATCATCTCTCAGGATATGAGGTTTACCCCCTTCTCCGGGCCCATTTCTAAAAGGTACATGTTCAAGTTCAAAGTTTCCAAGATCCTTTACTAAAACTGGAACCTAAAATACGATATGAAAGTTGATGTAAACTTATCAAAACACAGATATTTCATGAAATTGAAGTAAACTAAATTTATTACTTTTCTCTATCTTTTACATTAATAAAAACGAGGAACTTTAACATTTAGATTAAGGTAATTTAAATTTGTCGGAATGAAAATTCTAACATGTTTTGTTTACCTGTTTACTTTTTAGACTGTCCGACCAATACTCTTTCAAATTGATTGGTTTATCGAAAAAGAAGTCAAAGATAACGTACAAAACAAAAAGAATAAGCAGGCTATAGACAATAATACTAAAAAAACAATTCCTTCTTAACAGGACAACTCTCATTTTGTTCGAGATAATTGTATCTGAAAATAAAAATCGACAGATGTAATTACATGAAATGTTCGATATGTTATGTATCGAGAGATTTACGTGAACATGAGAGCGGTTGATGACCTCTAAATTCATAAGCGTAGATGCACCTGTTCAAATATTACAAACACTCGGGACAACGATAATTGATAAACGAATGTTAATAAAATGAATAAAATGAATAAAAATAAAACTTGAAACATATGAAAAACAGAAACCAAACAAAGAAAGGGGCAAATTACTATCGTTTTAATGTTTAAGCGATTCTTGTAAAATTAGGATACTTGTTGAAGTATTGTAGTGGCAGAAGTCAGCAAACATATTAGTTACCTTAAGTAAAAGTGGATAAATTGTGCAAAGTAAAACAAATTTCGAAAAATAACTTCTCGGATGTATTATAAGGGTATTATTGTAAACTATATTACGATCAACTTAGTCATTTCAAAAAATTCGTAACTACGTAGCTTTACACATCAGCCAACGTGAGCCAACGTGTCCCTACTGGCTTTGAATACATCTACCACAGATTAGGGCTGGCTCAAAATAAATTCAAATGTTCACTTTCTAAAGCACCCTATTTAAAATGTATGTATCCGCGTTAAGGTAATTTGCTGTAATTTATTGTCGTGCCGAAGAAAATTGCTTACATACAAAAGAATTTTCTAAACGATTAACAAGCTAATTATTTCGTTAGCTCAGACTTTAACTGTAAACGTCGAAATTCCTATAAAAATACTGTATGCAGGGCTCTACAGTTCCTAACCACGGCACTATCATACTTTGAGATAGCGTTGTCGGATTTCTACAGACGTATACCTCTATGTATAAAAACAATGTATCATCGATTTACTTGCTTCGATAAACCAAAATTACATGAGAAACGTATTTTATTTATTTAAATCCACTCCCAGCACATATACCTTTTCCTTATTGGCTTATTTGCAATTGTAGAAGTTGAATTTCCCGCCAGAATTTCCAACCGGCGGTGGCGCCATCTAACAGCAAAACGCCCAAGCTTGTAGTGAAAATAGTTTCCGGTGTCGCCGCTAGATGGCGCCACTAAAACCCAGCGGTGGCGTTATCTAGTGGCAACAGAGGATACTATTTTCACTACAAGCTTGGGTGTTTTGCCACCGATGGCGCCACCGTAGGTTGAAAATTCTGGCGGGAAATTCAACTCTTGATATCAGGAGTACTCGATATGTAATGGGGTATTGCAAATAAGTAAATAAGGAATAGATATATGTACTTTTACTTTCACACTTAACTTTAATTTATCTAATGATACAGAAGAATTTGTTAAGAGTTATGCTTAAGAATTAGAACAATAAAATGTACAATATTCATGTTACGTATAAACATTGTGTAATTAAACTTAAATACTGATCATACACTTTAACTTAAATACTATTTTTATAATGGAACTACTAATCCTATATATTCGTGTGTAATATCCTATCATGTAATTTATCGTAATTCTTCAAAGGTTTATCCAGGGGAAAGTCTACCATATGGCTCGTCCCTTCGGCGCCATAACGCTTGAAATTATCATAATTCGTCATCTCGTAATTCGTGTTACTTCAATTTTAAAAGGAACCGTACGAGTATTTATTAATTAACTGAGAAATCATGGCAACCAATCAGAATGTGATAACGTTATTTCGCGACTTGCGATTAAAGGGTCTCTAGTGGGGGCAACAGAAGCCATCGCAGTGCAGCCAAGTGCAGCATCTACCTGCCTCTGCCTGCACCTGCACGTACCAGCCTACCACCTTTAATGCCATTCAATGCAGTTCACCGCTGGACGCCATAAACATAAAACACGTGGTTCCTCTATTTCGTCGCAGACATGTACACTTGCTAATTCTCGTCCTCGTTATTACTCAAAGGAACCCTTACATAAGAAGTGCCAGGAAGTCCTGTCTACAGGGATGTTTCACCATCGATAACTAAGTCTTTGAAGGGATCAAGGAACAGAACAGTATGACGTCCGATAGATTTCATAAGTGAGTTACCATTCCCAGCAGACTGTGCATACTGTATTTTTCTATCATTGGTACTTTGGTACGCTGTGCTGAGATATTAAGGTGAACCAAAAGTGCCCTCCAATTATCTATTAAAAACTAACGCAAATTTTATACTTTTATTTAGTCTAAACATTTATCGAAATAGAACATAGAAAGGGGGTTGAAAGTTGAAGAGTATTTTTGAACTACCTTAATATCAAGCGCAAAGCCTAGAAAGCATGCAAGTATTGTAGAATCAGATTTTCGTCTCCCACTGGAATGAAAGTGCTTCCATATGACAACTCTGGTTCGTGATTTTGATGTATCAACTCTGAATTCTCTGTTCACGTGTTCCAGGCGAAGGGGTGATCATGAAACCGAAGTATTACAATCTTGAAATCTAGAAAACTAATTGTAATTCAATAGGAAAATTTCTAGTTCCAGAATCGATGTTGTATTACGATTGATATCGCTTTTTTTCAGTTTTCAAAGAGATATATAAAAGTACCATATCAACATTTGTAAATAGAATGCTCGTTATAAAGAATATATAATAAATTAAGGCAATGTTCTATTTACTCAACAAGTTGCTACTAGGAATCATGTAGTTATAAACAATTCTTTAGTACAGCATGTTTTACATATTCCAAATAGAGTTGCAAAGTAGTTGTAATTCTTATTCTGATTTATTATATATATCGTTCATGCCAGACATCTATCTTTAAAGCTATCTATTTTCTAAATATAAAAATAATTATGTTATATAAATTGTATAGCTTATATAAATATTTTGGTTTTAAAGAAATATCGTTAATTGTTTAATGTTTGATACACAGAGCTGCACGCGGCGGGGCCTTGAACGTCTTAAAAGAAGCAACGAAAAAGGATTGCAACGGGCGCGATGAAGGTGGAATGACCCCCACGTTATGGGCGGCCTTTGAAGGTCATATAGATGTTCTGAGACTGCTCGTCGCCAAAGGGTATACTCTCGATGCTCTATTCACTTATAAATACATTCTGAAATATCTATGCAAATCTTACTCCGTCCGTGTCCTTCGTACGCATCGTTTTTAGCAACTCCGTTAAGAATTATTTTTCAAAACTTGCATAAATAGTATTCTTACCAAATTTTCCTACTAATTTTTAATAAAAATGTATATCTCCCTATACTACCAGTTATTCATTTCAATACACCATCGTATTTGTGATATTTTTCGAGGAGCAATGCAAGTAATTAGTTATTTCATGATGAATTCATTTTTATTAATTACGTTAATTACGTTCGTTTTTCCTTGGAAAACTTACAGGTGAGGCGATGTATTGAAATTAATGACCCGATAGTGTAATACACCAAGAAAATAAGGGGAAATAATCAGCTTTTGTGTCAAAGAACGACCCTGAAAGTTGGGCATGTAAAAACAGGAAATACACGCTATAATCTGGCATCAGTCGACCCCATAAACGGAAATTGCAACCAAGCGAATACGATTGGAACAAAAGAACAGGAGGGACGAGTAATTGTTGCCCTCGTCGTGGACACAGATGCCAGATAAAACCATTTCTCCTTTTTTTTTTTTTGTCGAAACTACACGAATAACATTTATTTGAAGTTAAATAGCTCCCCAGACTTAAATAAAACACAGAATAACCAAGAGTCTAAGAGCTTCTACAAGTTAGGACCTGTTTTCTAACTCTTTCCACAGGGGTGACCCAGACAAGACCGATTATTTTGGTAACACAGCCCTCCACCTAGCAGCGGCGAGAGGCCACGAATATTGCGTCAAGTTCCTGGTAAAGTTTGGTTGTAACATTTGGTCATTGGACATAGACAGGCATTCCGCCCGAGACTTGGCTGCCATAAACGGGAGAGAGGTGATCCTCCAATACCTAGATCTCGCTCAGGCCGACCAGGAACTGAACAACCGGAAGAAAAGTAGAATACTCAGAGAGAAGGCTGAGAAAGATGCAGAGAAAAGGTATGTTCGAAAAGTAAAGACTATAGAAATACTAGTACGAATGTACTTTCAATTAGAATATATATAATAATCTCCGTAAAATCATGATACACATTTCTGTAAACAGACTGAAGGAGTACATGAAGAAACAGAAAATGGCGGAGATCAAAGCTGAGAAGGAGCAGAAGAAGCTGTCAAGGGACAGAACGAAACTGGACTTGGCTACAGTGAACGAAGCAGGTGTTCCAGCTCAGAAACCCGGTATATTGACCTTCAAAGGTCGAGTCAAGCCTTCACCAACGTTCAGCGACATCGTTGGCACTACTACGAAGAAGCACGGCAGTGCAGTCTGCAGGAAGGCACTGGCTAGGAAGGCAGTCGACGACTTCAAAGTTGTAGAGGTAAACTATTCGTACTACAGCACAGAATCGAGCCTTCCTATACTGAAATTTCACACGTTTAGATCGAAGTGAACGGGAAGAAGTCGATTCGCAGCTTGACCGGGCTGCGAAGGGACTCTGAGGTGATATACGTAGGAACCTACGAGACGCAGGCCCAGCAAATTGGAAGACGTGGTAGAATCTCTGATGTCTGGGGCACTCTTAGCAAGGCTCAAAGCACTCCTGACCTCCTAGGCGACCGTAGCTTCGACCAAGGGAACGCAGAAGACTTGAACGATGTCGGGAATTCTAGCTTCTTGCAAGAACCTGCGAGCATTTTCAATCGACCAGGATTTGGATCCGTAGCGTTTAGACGACCAGTAAGTTTGTCAAGCGTCGATCTAACGGACAACGGAACCAAGATACTAATAGAATAGAAATACTAATTTGTCTATCGTCTGCAGATAACAACTCTGGAGAGCCTACCAGTTCCCCAATTAGACGCCCACCAGCAAAACGGCAACTCCTGTCTGAGCGGTTCGATAAATGGCTCCCTGAATGGCCATCGAGTCGGCTCCAATGGGCACAACGAAGAGATCAGTATAGGAAGCGCGGGTAGCTTGGCTCGAAGACAGAGCATGTGGGACGACGACTTACTTTCAGGCAAGAATTCTATTCAACTAACGCATGTTTATATTCCAAGCTTGAATTAAAACCTAATGTGCGATTGCAGAGGAGGAAGAGGAAGAAGAAGAAGAAGAAGAAGAAGAGACTGACGAGGAATGGACTCCCTTACAGAGATTCCTAGTTGCCAATAACCTTTCGTCCATACATCCCATTTTGGAATCCGAGCAAATAGATCTGGAAGCATTGATGCTGCTCACTGAAACTGATATCGCGGCTCTGAAGCTCCCCTTGGGACCCAAGAGGAAGCTGATGAACGCTATAGCGAATAGGAAAAGGGCTCTGGACGCCCCCCAGAACGTTATAAAAGACAGCAGATTGTAGAATTAATTGCAAAATGAAAGGGAAACGAGGAAGAAAATGCCTGAATGCCTTACGAAGTGTCTTACGTAACGTAGAGTAACTTGGGAAAATATAAAAATTAGTAATTTCTTCGATCAAAGGGTCCGTAAACCCGAGAGATTATTATCTTTCTAGTTCGACCACCAGATTTGAGAATGCATCGCGCTGTTTGTTTGCCATTCTTCACAATTTTTAAGTATAACAGTACGGTAAAGTAACTTTAATCATCGCCATGACACTGCAAATAGTTCATCGCACGAAGCCTTAGCTGTAATAATTCTTGTACTGTGTACAGTGCCTTACATGTATTTTAAGTCTACGATAAGGAAGAATGAAATTTTTGTTCTTATTGCGCATTTGTTATATAAGTAAAACGAATTTTATACAAAGTGTACAGAGCCAACGAATCAAATAAAAGAATGTAAATAACTAACGTTTAATACAGCGGATCAATGTAATAATAATTATCCTATGAAACATTTCGATACCCGAGACGACGAGGTAATAATTATTTTGTTAAAAATCTTTGTAATTTTATTTGTAAATCATTATCTTACAAACAAGGGGACGCAAAAATATAGAAGCTTCTTGTGTTCGCAGAAAATAACAGCACCATTTCTCACCTCGCCGCGAACATAAACGATCGTTACATCGCGGATCTTTCCTGTTAGTGCGAATATAATAGAAGATACGCTCGACGTGTATCGTAATAAAGAAAGAGGCTCGTAGAAAAATTTCTCGGCGCCCCAGTGCTCCTAACAGTTGTACGATCAGCGTACCAACTAATTAATGTGAAAGAGACACGATACAGAAGCCGCGATTCCTGCCCGTCTTACTTCCTGAGGCTGTCAGATCAATCGATTAACCAATCATAAATATTATATTATATTTATTTATCCTATCGCTTCTAGACAGCTATCAATTCATCAAAAGTTCAATGTAAAAAGAAGTCGATTTGCTTTCTCTTTCTTTTTTTAAATATTAATCGATTAATTTCAGGGGCCTGTAAAGCTACCTTGCCTAATTCTATGCGAATACACAACAATCGATTTTACATTAGTGGCAAATCCTTCATCGGGAACTCCTCTTTTGGCAACGAATATAAATCAAACGGTTCCATAAAGTAGAACGTGAAAGACGTGTTGTTCGTACTCTTTCCTAATGATTTACAATCCTCCAAAAAATTGCTCGCCAAGAGTAAAATAAATCACGCGCTAAGACGTAAACAGTGAGGAATTTAAACTGAACTGTTTATTCTCTGAAACCTTCACGTACATTATCTGTATACGAGTCGACAGAAATCGATTCGATGTAACAGAGCACAGATTGCGTCGTGCTGTTCAAGGAAAATGCCAATTTTATTGATCGCGACTCTATCGAATATAGAGAAACAAACTTTTCTTTCAAGACCAATAAGAAAGAGCTTTCGGACTATAAACACAAAGACATCTACCGATAAAAACAAAGGAAAAAAAAAACTCAAGTGTCTGTATAAAATGACTCGACGTTTCCCATCATCAAGCATATTCTTCTTATCGTTAATGTATTCTAATGTATTCCTAAGTATGGCATCTTTAGTGTGTGTGTTTCTTTTTCTGTGTATGCTTTCTAGAGTCACACCTTTGCACTTGTGAAAGAAAATCCACAGGATCGATTGCCAAAGAATCTTTGATTAAAGGAGGAAACCGACTGGCGTTAAAAAAATTTGGAAAAGAATCGAAAAGCGTGTATTTAAATTTCACAAGGTACAAAGTTACTCCAGTCATCGTATTTTACAATTCCCTTGGAATGGAACTTTCGAGTTCGTCGAAAAAGTAAATTCAATCGTTGGAGTTCACTTAACTGCCGAGATTACACGATAAATATTATTAAAGCTATAGTAGTCAATATTAATGATAATAATATTTAGCAATACCTCTAAAGCTATCATCGTTATGAACGTATGTTATATATTTACAACTGAACTCTTTTTTTTCTTAGTGCTCTAACAATTTCGAGAAGAAGAAAACAAACGAACAAGCCAGCTTCTAAATGAGTTTAGAAGAACGAAATGAAGGAAAGCAGGAACTAGGAGATAGGAGAAAAACGTCCAATTTCAGAGTTAAATAAATTTCTTCAAGTTCCTCTAAGTTCCTTGTAGGTTTCGTCGACCTTCGAAATTCAGATAGAAGCAGGACGAGGTACGGTGCCTAGAAATAATTATTAAAATATACATGTACAGTTATTTGAGGCATCCACGGCCCTTTTTCACCCGCGCGAATACGATTAGAATAGATATATAAAAATTACAAAAACGAAAGGAATACAGAAACAACTATATATATATATAATTTATATATATATATATATAAAATTTATATATACATATACATTATATATTATCCAAAAGACAGTTTTATAGTTACTCTACATATATAGAAGTCGTACAACAATGCAAATCCCTTGTTCATGAGAGCGGTGAAGAGAATTTATAAGACTACAGAAACCAAACAATTTATCAACATATTCTTTTTCTATTCCGTTTACAGCTAACGAAAACCGTACAGAGACCATGATAGAGGCATAGCGTGACACACCTGGTGCAACAAACGACGAGAAAGCCTACAGATATCACTTCGACTCAGACTTTAGCCAGTTATCACCAAAATCTTCCAAAATATCAATTATCTATGATCACTTAATAATCATAACAACATTATTATAATAAAATCAGAGGCGATCCTTTGGCGAATCAAAGAATATTTTACAAACGTTTCCCTCCCTGTCCCCTTTTTTTTAAGTTACCACCGTGGACAGAATAATACAGTTATTAAATATTACATCACCGTTTCATTGTTAAATATACCATTCGAACGTGTTTACAATTTACCGTGAGGTGGCTACCGCGTGTTTTAGCTACCAGCTGCTGGATACAAACATACACAGTGATCATGTGTATTCGTACGCAACTTTCAACATATTATGGCACATCAGCTTGACGCAAAAGTAATTTCCTTTCTTTCTATTTTTCCATTTAATATTGCAATGAATTTCTATATAAAGCTGATCGTGTTATACACGATCTAGAAATGCGAATGTTCGATAAATATCGTTTTTTCGATAGCTACCACATAGAAAACGAAATTACTTTTGCAGTAACCTGATATACAACATGTGAATCAACCGATAATCATTTATACAGACCTCTCCGTATACAAAAAACGATGACAATTCTCCCTCTCTAATTACTTTGAATGGTACTCCGTAACACGTTCGCATCAGTCTCGCTGCTTGGATAAATAAATAAATAATTTCAAAGCAAACAACAGCGATTCCTATGGATTGTAATTTCATGTATAGAGCCACGACCTCCACAAATAACTGTAGATTTGATATTACGCTACTCTCCGTAGTTAATCGCCTTAACGTCAATTATTCAAATCAGAACTGTTGTGTAAAACTTACGAAACTCGACGAGATATTTAAAGTACGAGAACTCACGAGCGTTCTCCGTGGCGATGCAAACCACTGTTTCTCTCAAATGATTTCGTTTAAATGGGATCTACGCGGGAGGAGGGGGATGAACCGTTAATAATTAATCGATTAATTAATGGGGAAACAAGGGAGCGAGGTCGCTTTACACGTAGCGCGCCGTTACATGAAACGCGAACGTTTGTGCGTGGGGGATCCCATATCCACGTCGTGCGAAGCTGGCCGTTTGTGATGTCTGGCGAACTCGCTGCTGATGAAGGCTGACAACTCAGCTTGCCTTCCAGTACGCCGAGACATTGGCGAACCTATCCAAAATATCCCAGTTACAACAGACACAAGGATTGCATGATTCTATCCCTAACTGTTATCGAGGATATACAAAATACTGCGTACCAGAATCTCGAAGACAAACACAAAATACCAGGAAAAGTTTGTAAACAGTTTAAAAAGCTCAAGATTCATTGTATACAAACATATTCCTAATTGTTCAATGATAGACGAATAATTCTCACCAGACAATGAGATCGCTTCCCTAAATGTGTGCAACTCAGGATCAGGATCGTTCCCAGTCATTGGCGTGGGTGCCACCACCATAGTTGGTGTTGAACTCTGAGAGGGAGGAGAACCGCACACCATCATCCTCGGTTTAGGTGAACTCCTGAAAGTTACGATGCAGCTTCATTTTTAATCTGTACCGAGTTCCGCGTAGACGTAACGTCTTACAAAAGGGATCAGGGTTGCTTGCAATTTATAGGAGGGCTTACCTGTGCGAATGTGGTCGTGGCGGTGGTGACTTTCCAGCGAGATACGCCAACAGGTCTTCCCTACGAATCGTACGTCTCTTTTTCCTGGCCCAGTTCATTATTTCTTTGCTACGCTTCTGTCGACCCATTTCTATGCTTAGCTCGCTGCAACGACGCATACTGTCCACAGAATCTGTCGGAATGCAACCATGGTTCTGACAATGTCTCTGACATTAGTTTGGATACGTAAAGTTATTCTCAAAGTCTTAAAGCAGGACTCAACTTTAAACTATGACCGGTATAAGAGATATGGTGACGCTTGGAATCCAAGACTTTACTTCTGTCAGTATGTAAAGGTACGGAAAATATTAAAATAAAATGAAGTTTAAGTATTAATCCGAGTATAAAATTATTTTAGGTTAGAGGTTCGAAGATTGGAGGCTGCGAAGGGTTAAAAATTCACAAGTTTAACAGCTGACCTTCAGGCTTAGTCAGCTGTGCAGAGACGTGTCATCGCTGTGTACAAATGAGTAACTACTGCAGAAAAGGATGATCGAATAGCCCGTTGGAGGGGGAGGAGGAGGGGTATGCAAGGCGTGCGGAAGGAGGAGAAAAAAGAATACAGGAAGAGAGAGGGACAAGGAAAGATGTATCAGGCAAGAAAGGCGAGAGGAGGGGGGAAGTTGAGATTGAAGGTTTATCTTGGCAGCGTTGTTGACAAGAGAAACCAAAGAAGTGCACGCACCTTTGTACAACGATGTGACGGTCCCCGCAGCGATCTGAAAGGGCAGCCAGAGAGATACACCCTGGGTCCGATCTGTAAAAAGAACAAGTTCGAAAGGGGCCTAATTACGCGGCTAGATCGATATGCATATACGCAGGGGGGGATGAAGGAAACAGAAGGAAACGAGGGGCAAGAAGAGTGACATGTCTCGTGCGTCGCACAAAATGGATGTCACTAAAAATGGTAACGACGTGCGAGATTCGCTCGGTGTTACTCGCAGGGCCGAACAGGAAGGGTGTACGAGGTATTATGGTTCTCGCCTTTGTACAGCTGGGCGATGGCCGACGCTGTGGACTGAAAGCTCGTCCACATCTGTTGAGAGTAGAGTTCTTTCTCGTTGTGCAGTTGGGTTTCGTAATCTGGCTCAGTTTCTAGCGCCTCGACGCACTGTTGCTCCCAATTGCTGTAAAAGAGGTCCATTATGGGATCCTCCTCGCTTCGGTCGTCGCTCATGGCTCGCCGTGTCCTCGAGACTCCTGTGTTCTGTGTTCACGCCTTATCCACCGCACACGTACATATACATACACGCACACACGCACACACGCACCCGCGACCACAGGGAAAATCGTGTAACCCTAAACTCTGCCTTCTCGTTCCCCGTTTACTAGCTGATTCGACTTTTTAGTACCTCACGTAACGCGAACGGTGTTTGCTCGCTGCACGCCAACCCGAGTCAGGTCGCGGCCATTACGATGTGCCTCGCTCGAGGATCGCACGAAACACGAAATACGAATCGCCAGCGACGAAGAACGAGCTGAACCAACGATACATAATCCCTTTTCACCCCCCGGACCAACGACCATAGACGTACAGAGACAGACTGAGACAGCGCGCTATTGCGAGAAGGAGAGGGCTACCGACGAGACCGAAGGATAGAGATACCGTGCTCGTCTACCTCTCTTCGTCGCACACCAACCAATGGAGGGGGAACAGTCTATCAGCCCCCACCCTTCCTTCATACATGCGCATTAAATTTCGAAAATCACGAGTTAGGAATTCTGGTTATACTCGCTTTTTTTTTATAAATTTGCGTTCTTATATTTCGAAATACAACACATTGTACTCCTGTCGATACTTATCGTAACGTGGTAAGTAAAATGGAAAATGGCGCCATCTAGCAGCGATCCCTAGGAAACACGCTATCGCCATCTAGCGACGAAATCTTAAGTTACGGATGACGGTAGAGTAGAAACGCGACTTTACCATCTAGCAAATACAGCGCATACGCAATCAAAACTCGAAAAACCGCCAAGGTTTCGCATCTACAAAAGTACTCTACATTGAGCGTATGCAACCCAAGTTGGGTTTATGTATTTATGTATATTTTCACAAAATTGTTGCGTTGAACTGAAATTATGGAGAAGAAAATATCAACGAGACGGCCAGTAAAAGATGATTGATATCGGATAATTAATTGTATTTAACTTTATCGCAAACAATAGTATCCGATATCATTGTTTTGTTTTGCACCCTGATCAAATACATGTATGAAATAGATAAAAATGTCTTTAGATCAAACGGTTTGCGAAGGTAAAAATACTGAATTGTTATTTATTTATCATTATCTCAGTGAAAACTGGAAACATGTAACGATAGCGAATGAACAATTTTGAGGTTAGTTTAACAATTCTTTCGTAACTCTCTATCACTTTCAGACTTGAAAGCTTTTGAAAGACGTCTCACAGAAGTGATTGCCAGTTTGCAGCCAGCTACCTTACGATGGAGAAGTATGTTTCTTTTATCCTATTTATAGATGTTACATTTAAACGTAATGTTACTTTCAGTACTCCTGGGTTTCATTTCTGTTTGCACCGCTGTTGGCGCGTGGCATTGGCTAACGGATCCTAATACATCAGCTGTATCATTTACCGAAAGCCTATGCAATCACCCATTTTTTGCAATCGCTAGCATTATTTTAGGTAAGTTTGATCAATGCTGAATTAGAAGAAAAATAAGAAAAGAACTGCGATTGCTAGTTTGTACAAGCTAAATATCAATTAATTTCAGTGATACTATTCATGATGGGAGTTCACAGACGGGTAATAGCACCGAGTATAATAACTCAGAGAGCCAGAAGCGTTCTTGGTGATTTTAATATGAGTTGCGACGATACTGGGAAACTCATTCTTAAACCAACAAGACCACCCCATCCACATGAAACTTAAGAACATATTCGTACAATTTATGATAATTCCCTATAACAATTCGTCATATTACATATAAGTTAGCATAAAGATTTTCCTAAGTGTATAATATTTAGTTGCGAAAATGTATTGCTAAAACATTAAATATTTTTATAAATATTCTTATTTATTGTATATACTGTGATACGAAAAGTTACGAATGCGTACGTAAATTAATGCGTTAACCTTCGATTAAATAAGCGTACAACTCTTGCCAGATACACTTGCCAAGAGTTATAAAACGAGTTAAAGTAATTGTATGATATTATTGTTCGATTATTTTTAATTTTGTATATTGAAATGTAATTATAAATATGACTGTATATTATTTCAATAAATACAAAATAAGTTAAATAAGCGTAATTCATTCTAGCAACATTTTCATTGAAACGCTCAATTATACTTATAGTCTTGCGATTTTATTTATATAATTTTTTCATCTTGAGAAAGATACAAAAAAATTATATTTGACAATGTTAAGCGAGGATCACAAATTATAACGATCAAAACATTTATTCGTATTAATATTCTGCATATTATTACAATTTCCGCAACGCACAAATCACGCGATTTATTTCATACAATATTACATATACAATATTATTTACTTTACGCAGTCCCAATATATATTTAAAGTTAACTGCAGCATTATGTTTTAAGATGTCTTTCTCAGTCCCAGAATTATATTACCTACAATATATATACACAAAGGATGATTACCAAATGTTATAAATGAATATTCTAAACGCTGTGTTGGTCATCGATAATTGGGCAAACTAAAAAAAAATTTCAGTATTCTGAATATTCCTAACTGCACATTTAATTGATGCGCATTGTTTTATTCCATGCATGCGTACATATTTCTTTTCTTTTCGTTTTTAGCGAGTCTTTATATAATAAAATTACGATAATTCATCGATACCTCGATAACTAACATTTATTTATTAGCAAGGTATTTTGGAAAATGATCTCGTGGCGATTTCATTCGTCGATTCTTCTCTTGTATAGTTTGCAATTAGACGCCACAAGTTCGAACAATATTTAACGTTGTAAATATCGAAAAATATAAAGTTACTGGATAAGATATAATCGATCGCAAGAAACCAAGCTAACGTAGCATGGTCGTGCTTGTCTATGCGTGGAACTCAGGAATAATTCAATGATCGTGCTCTTTAAACTCAATGTGCTAGTGCATGGAAAACAAATCACCAGCCGATGGAAGAGGTGCCAAACCTCCTGTGACGTCAGGTAACTGCGTCAAGTCGGGAAGATTCGAAATGTGGGATTTCACTTCTGATCGAACTGTGCACACCTTTTTAAGTTTTTCTTTATAGTCCTGCAACATAGCATATGATATCATAACATTCTTAGTGAACAGATTCATCGAGTAGTTCAAATCATAATCGTACTTCTAAAGTAGTCTGCGCTTGCTGAAGTAACTGCCTTTGCGCTAAAGTGTAATCTCTAAGCATAGTTAACAATCTCCTTCTGTCTTCCATTTCAGCTTGCAATCGTCCATTGTAATCCGCCAACAATGCAGCAGCTTCGTTTACAGCAACGCTTAATTGGTCCGCGGCTGCTCTATCAGCCAGATTCGCAAGCAGCGAAACCTCCGAAACTTCTGGTGGCAGAGATGCGATACGTTCTCTAACACCAGCGTCAGAGGATGCTGTGTTTTCCAAATCCTGAAACGTAGAAGGCTTTTTAATGATCGCCTTCAATGTTCTCGTATTCGAAGCATCTTATTTACAGTTTTCGCACACGCAAAATTCACATGAGAGAATAATGCAGTTTTATTCACACAAGTACTCGAAATTAATAAGAATAATTTCTAAAAATATAAACTGAATGCTTATTCGGTTGTTTTGAAATAAAAGTAACGGAATGGTTTGTTATTTAAATGAGAGACGGTATAAAGTTTTTTTACAAAATAGAAGAAACAATATTTTTGATTAAGAATAAAAGTAACGAGTAGAATAAAATTGCTATTGGGGGTGGATACATCAAACTGTAAATATGCTTGCCAGTGCGCCTTATGGATTCAACATATATTTTACTCTGTATAAGACAGTTTATTGCTAACGATACATAATCCGAATGTTTCTTTTTATAAATGGTATTAACCATTAAGGCTTTGATGAGTTCCTCTGTTTCCGGTGGATCTCCGGCAGGAGTACGTGGACTCAACGTAACATGCAGCTCTTTCGTTCCATCCACTTCGACTTCAGTCTCCGACTTTTTTCTCTCCTTTTTTTCTTTCTATAATACACAGTGAACATATAATTTCGCTATAAACGCCAGATTTAATGTAACTTGAAACCAACATTGTACGTTACCTTTACTTTCTCTATGTCGTTTTTAAGTTTCTTTTTAGGAGGCGGTGTTCCTGGATCCTTCGAGGTATCCGTAAAGGCGACTTTAAATTCTGTGATTTGCGCTTTATCGTACACTCCTCTCTCCTCCCATATTTGCAGTAATCTGTTCAACCTCTCCCTCGTCTTCTCGTCGAACCCCTTCATATGCTCAAAAGCCTTAGGCAACACTGTTTCAAATTCTTTCCCAAATTCGGGGCCTTTCTTTTTACTGTTTTGAATAACATCGTTCGCCAGATACATGAACATTAACTTGCGATTATCCTTCACTGGAAGAAATACATATAAAAAAATTACTAATTAATCTAGCAAGGCTTAAACTAAACGATAGTTTAGTCACTGAAATTAAGTTAACAATGATTTATAATAGAAATTCTGAATCAGGTAAAAATTACAGTGATTCCTGATTCAGATTTCCCAATACTATTATATGTTTGTCGAGTTAGGTTAGAGTATCGGGCAAAGGTTTAAATATCATCATGATCATTCGTGTAAACAAATTCGTATCTCTATTATGTACAAGAATATGGTATCGAATCAGTTGGATATTTAAAATTATAATGTTGCATGATTTGCACCATATCCTAACCGCGACAAGCGACTACTAGTGTGATAAACCTAATTTTACAGCTGACATACAGTTATAAAGAATATCTCCACAATTACGTGGCGAACGTCTAATTTACGAGATAACCTAGAAATTTTAACGATCCTCGTTCGCTACTTTGTCCGTTCGGAAAGCTTTTCGATACAGCTGATAAAATAACGTCAGTTAGCACAAGTTTTAAGTATAAAATAAATAAAGATGTACTTACGACGGTCGTCACGTACCTTTACACATTTCTTTGAACCAGACTTTCACGATGGTTGGGTGATGTTTTCTGTGATGAATTAACCAAAGGGACAATGTTTGAATACTCTGTTGGGAGGGATTCAGGTCCATTAATCTTTTCACAAGCGCACTCTCTGTAAACCCAGTCATTTCTAGACTTCAACGTTACCGAAGAATACACAAAAATGAATTGTATTTCAACTAACGAGCCGCACAAGTTGGCACAAGTGCACGAGCATGCACGACTCAACAGCTGAAACACAAACATGAACAGCGTATAAAATGTTCTACCATAAAATACGTTTATAGAGACGAAACTCGTCAAGTTCTTCTTGAGAGTGAATGCGCATGCGCCTTTCGAATTAGAGATTCTCCCATCAGAAGCACGAAATATGTTGCTCGATTCTAATTGGGTACCGCCATTTTTCAGTAAACCGCGCGCATTTTTAAATGCTTTTAAGTCTAGCTATTTATTTGTTACGATAATAAATAATTATTATCAATTGCTCGAGTTGAAAAACAAAGTGTAACTGAATTCATAGAGAAATGATTCGTGAATCATGTTGAATTTTCTGTAAAATTCATGTTCTCTATTCTTTGTATGAAACTAACCTTAAAAGTAAGAAATGTACCATCGAGTACTGTGTACATTCGTCTTTGATTTTATATAAATTTCTTGAAGAGAAATTTTTGTTACTCGTAGAATGATAGTATAAGAAACTATGAGTGAACCAAGCGATGAGAGTGACAAGGATTATGATTTGGAGCCCAAAGGAGATGAAGATTTTAAAATTGATGACAACTGCGAAGAGATTGACAGCGATGATTCTTACTGCGATGTACCTGAAACTAATAACGATAGCAACAATGTAAAGTCGAATTTATATTTGATATAAAACTATGTAAAGCAATATTTTAAGGTAGTATAACCTTGAGATTTGATTTGATTTAGATTTTTGAAAAAGACGAGGTCGAACAACACGAAGAGTATATTGGGCCAGTGCTTCCCGGAGGTCACAGATTCGATAGAACGTTCATCTCCATTATGTACCCTGGAAATGTTGTTAATTCAGATAAAGCTATAGAAACCTTAGGTGGTATTAGTAGCATTTCTACGGTAATGTATTGTTTTTATGAAAATAGACAAGCAAAAGTAGATAATGATTGTTACTTATCGTTATATATTTACAGGCAGTGAATACTCCAAACCGACGTTTGGAGTTGAAATTCAGACCAGATGAACCTTGCTGTAAGCCAGCTTGTGGTGATAAATATAATACCAAAGGATTCTTGCTTAGAGTTAGAGTTAAAAAGTCCAGAGTCGAAAAGGTGAAGCAACCTAAAGAAAAGGGAACAAAGGAACAGTTTGAAACAACTGTAAATATAACGAATAATGTGCAAAGTAATATGGATTCATTGAAGTCATCTGATACACAAAAAAACAAGAATCAGAATGAACCACTTATATCCGAACTAGCAAATCAAGTTCAAGGTTGCAGCATAGGTACCATGGACGATGGACATTTTTTTAAGGAGAAGAAAAACATGACACCAACATTTGAACATACCAAGTATGAAGATCTTTCAGAAGATAAAGATTACGAATTGCCAAAATTAAAAGTTCTAGGGCGAATCGACACAGAGTTTAGATTTAGGAGTATGTATCTTATGAAATATCAATAGTTCACATAATTTAAAATACAAGTAAATTTTTGAAATACCATTTTCCAGATCTTATCGACTTTCAGTATTTACCTCTAGCTGAAAGCAAATCGGATCCCAAAAAATTGGAATGCATATACAACAAGATTTATCCCATCAACATACCGCATTTCTCTTGGTTAAAGAACGACGTGCCTTATTTCTTACCACCAGCTACGTTCAGCAGAATGGGCACGGTGCAGCAGTACGTACCAAAAACTGAAATAAACTCGTATCCAGAGAACGTAATAGGAAGGAGTAGAAAACGAAAAACAGGGTTCTCGAATTTCATTTACTTCTCGACACCAGAGGTTCCTACTAAACCGCCAGCGGGCATAGAAACTGCTTTGAAAGTGAAATTCGTTCAATCCGAACACATCGAACAAATGCGTAAAATATTCGAGGAACGACCGATCTGGTCGAAAAATGCGTTAATGTACGAAACAAAATTTTCGAACGATCGACTGAAAATTTTGTTACCTTCCGTGGCGTATTATTTCATGACCGGTCCATGGAAAATTATGTGGGTAAAACTGGGCTATGATCCGAGGAAAGATATCTCTGCGAGGAAGTACCAAACTTTGGATTACAGATTAAAAGCCATGCGTGAGTATTTTTTAATGGTTTTGCTCTGCTCTCTTTTATTATTTTTCCTACTATTTTTGTGTACGTGTAGATGGCTTGGGATCTACTGTTAAATGTAAAAGAAATTACTCGATGTATACTTTGCCATACAAATCAACACCAGCGGCGAAGCAAAAGACGATTCTAAAAGGAGCTTCCAGTCAGGAGCAGAACATTAAGAAAGAGCAAGATCTAAACGAAAATGTGTATATTTATCGGGAGGGAACCGTGCCACCTTCTAGGCAAATGTTTTACCAGGTTACTTTTAAATTAATTCAAAATTAAAATTAAAATTAAAATTATCAAAATTCTGGATGTACATCGAAGTTAAAATTTTGTTTAGTACTGCGACGTCCTCGTGGACGAAATACAAGAGATGTTGGCAAAGTTGCCCGATCCTTTGCCTGGCATAAGGTGTCACGAGAAAAGAGGTTGGTTACCAAACGGTTTCGACGCACAGTGCAGAGAAATTATCAACAGACAAGTTCGCACAGTTTTAAGGAAGCAAATGAATATCCCTGAAGATCGTACGTATTTTTACTGTATAGAATCCGATATTAATTTGTGCGTTTTATTGTTATACTTCATTCGCAGATCCTACATCTTTGCCTCGAAAACGTAAACGAGGTATCAGAGTGAAACGTGACAGATTTAAAACTCGTAAAAAGAAGAAAGAGTCGGTTTCTAGCGCAGAAGAAAGCGAAGAAAAGTAGGGAATGAATAATTTTAATTATTATATGTAGTTCGTAAGATTTCATAAATAAACTTCTTTAAATACCTACAGTTACGGTTTATTCATAAACGTAAATGCTATTATATGTTCGCACCATTAGTTATCCTTGAATGAAGGTTATAATTAAAAATTAACGTTTACTTCCTTGTTCAGAATTAATTAAGTATTAAGTTTCTTTTAGACTTATTCGTCAACGATTCATGTTTACTAATAGAATTTTAAGAAAATCGTAGGAAGATAATTTTCATTTAGAGCGTGTAGCTTTTTCAAAGGAAATTTTTCATGTTCGTTTCATTTTCTTTCTTTTTGCCTACAAATCGCGCTTAACACTAAACCTACCACGACTGATCAAATGACCGATTTCAAACTTTACAGTTCTATGCAATATACGAATTATATACAATTGTTTCATGCATCATTTAATTTAGTTTCGTATACAGTATATATGCTAACTTTTGTATACAGTTCTTATATGCAAGACGCGAATTATACACAATTGTTCCACGCATTATTCATTTCCACGTAAAATATTTTTGCATATAACTGAAAACAGTGTCTTTAATGCATTCGTCCTATAAAAGTAGTCACAAATCAACGTGGGTAGGTTTAGTGTTAAGTCGCAACAAGATTGTTTATCGGTGATACTTTTAAAGACGAAGGCCAGGATTAGTGCTAGCCACGTAATTCAAGAGTTCCTCAGAGTCCTCGCATACGAAAGGTTTCTGGTGGTAACACGCGACGTCGTGCCAGCTGATTCCATCTTTGTAAACATTGTTAAGAACAGATAAGCAGGATTCGTTGGTGCCGTTTATGTCGAATTCAGCGTTATCCGGTTGCCTGACTTTCTTATGGCCAGTTTGAGACCACGGATTGAAGTTCCAGCCTTCGGGAACCTGGTTAGTCGGTGCCATCTTCTTCCTATTGGCCGACCAGAACCATCCGTAGAGAGATTTTGGCTCTAGGTCGCGACGATTCTCGCAACCCTTGAAGTCGCAGAGACGTCCTGATGTCCAAATGTAGGGAACATCGTCTAAGAAGAATATCATTCATTCAGTATCTTTCTTTGTAACTAATAGTTCTGACTTCATTTTCAATAGTTCTCAATAGATTAAGCTAGTGCATCTATCAATAAGACTTGTTGGGTAATTTATTAGAGCTGGAGACCACCCTGTAAGGGGCCGTACATCAAACTGACTCACTTACAATTGTTTAAAAAATTATCCAATAATTCTAATTGATACAAATATTTAGTTTACTTGATCAGGAAGTATAGAACTATTGAAAACGAAGCTGCCAGGTTCAGAGACCCAGCTATGTACTCGAGAGTAGACTCAAGTACAAGTTAAAGAATGAAGAAATATCAACATCTATCCGCAACTTGTGTGGAAACACTAAGACTCGGCGAGGGTACAGATACAGTAAGCAATTTATTATACTTAGCGTGACGTGTGTTCACGCCAGCTGAATGTTCAGAAATTTCGAAACAAATCCGTCGACACGAAGCGATGCTTCAACTTCGCTCTCGGTGATTTATAACGTCGTGACTCCAGCTATTTCGCCACAGCGTGAGAAACCGGGATCTGATTCTGCTAATGCTCAAATCGTATCGCACCACTATTTTCTACAGTCGTTTCGTTTTTTAAATAACTATGTTTTCTCGAATTAAAACACGTTTGAATTAACGTGTCCAATATCTACAATCTACAGAATACAAAATTAAATTCAGAGTAATCGTTTAGAACGATAGATAGATAATAATTTATTTGAATATTAGGTAACGAATAGTACCAACTAGCAATTTATTCAATCTGTTTGTTGTTCATGCTTTAGAATCTCCAAGCTGCAGAGTTCAAGTGAGAACCTTGAAGGTGAGATGAAGGATCTTTAAGTAGGTCGAGGCTGAGAAAGGATATCCTCTTTTATATGGATAATTGCTTCATGGAACTCATCAATCTTTCCAGAGAGCGTACACAAGAATAGAACAATACGTTAAGGGAGTTATAAATGGGAGACATTTTAATTAAATTAAAATTTTGTCAGAATCAAGTTTTTCTTTGTTAATGACAACATTGTTGTTTCTGTTTGGCCCTTGTCTAGAATATAAAATATAAGCATACGCAACAATAGGACAATAAGTTAAGAAAGTTAAACCAGAAATTTTTCAAAAGTTTTGTTTGAGTCTGGACTTTTTTAGTATACTGTAACATTCTGGTCTCTGTTTGACCTTGTCTAGACTATACAATACAACAAGATTAATGTAGATCTTGCATAGCATATTTTGTTTATTTATTTCTATGGAAAAGCATCAAGAGTTTCAGCCACTTACTTTGTTGAATGAGTCTGAAAATTAAATTGTTTTCATCTTGAGTCTCTATCGACACGAGATCCATACAGTATTCCCTGCAAATGTTCCTAGCATCCAGCCAATCCACCCTCTGGTTGCTATGTGCTGGGATATGTCCACTATAGAAGTAGTTGTGGCCTCTGTAGTTGAATTCTTTTGGTCCTGCGAATGAAATTGTCGCGAATTAATTCTTTTTCTATTATTAGATCCTTTTCAAACGTTTCATGGAGATGGAAATCCCGTTGAACGTTTCAATTATCCGCAGCACGTGCGTGATGGATTTATAATCGACCCATGATTATCGTCCCGCTTAAATGTCAACAGTTTTACACTTTTTTCACGATATTTATGCAGGAATACCTCTCTCGTCGACGATTTACGACACGTGTCTCATTATAAGTCTATCGTTATGGTTGCGAAAGGGCTGTTAGTATTCATTGAATGCTACTCAACGGTATTGCATCTTTGTCATCTAGCATATACATTCTTTGGAGCGATTATTTCATTATTTATTACCTTATTTCGATCATTCAAGGAACCTTGACGTCGTGGATCTATTTAGAATCATTCGTTTATAGCAAAAATCATAGAGAAACTGAGAAAAAGGCAGGAAGATATTACAGATAGCCATAGCTAAAACCAGAAAGAAAAGCGCGGGAAACATGGACGAAACAAGATGGCGGTAATCTATCTGTCCTTGTCTACTCGCGCATGCGCAAGGATGGTAAGCTCGCTATGACTCGCGCGTGCGTAATGATGTCAGATTCCGCGCGCGTCTTTTGAATACCTTAACGTTAACTCTTTATTAAAATCTATTCGCTCAGCTCTAAATTATTTTTTTTGTAATATTTTATCATTACTAGTGTTACGTAATACATTACTTGTACAAATGCGTTGATATTTTGAAATATAATCACCAAGATGTTTGATATACCGACAGCGGAGCGTTACCATAATGATTATCGACCAGCGATAACACAAATGGTAAGTAGCTAAGGTATTTTATGGTATTCTACGTGCTTCTCACGGGAATTTATTTTCAGTTGGCATATCACGAAAGGACACGAGGTGAAATTGAAACTGCGAATGAGAATAGGAATGGAACATTCATTGTACAACAATGAACGCAGGAACAACGGTATCTTTTACGATCGTTAGCATTGTGTGCATCGTAATATTTGAGAAATCATTTCCGTCTCCTGCAGTCCACGCTTCTCCTTATTTCTCGCGAACGACGTTTTGCCGCTTATAAAAGACTACGATTGACTTGCAGGCTCTTTGTCCTCAAGATAAGGCTTGAAAACGTAAGGAGAAACGTGGAACTGTTGGTAAGGTTGATTGGCGCATTTTTACCGACAGCGATACTTCCGTTCTGCCACATTTGAATTCGAATGTGTAAGAAACTACAAAATGTATACGGTATACAATAAATAAAAAAAAAAAAAAAAAAAAAAAAAAACTCATGTAATATTCACCGACTATAATAAATTCCTATTTACGTTCAATTTTTGTAGACATGTTTGCAAAGATTTCCTTTTGCTTAAAGATCCGTTTTATAACATGAAACAGCATTTACTGAAATCAGTAATTCTAGGTCTGGAGAGAGTCGATTAAAAGATTGGCCACAGTGAACGTATTTGCTGGTTTTTCAACTAGAAACGTTCGAATAAATTTAGTTACAAGGATTCCTGAACGTTTGGTAAGCTTCTAGAGTTCGAAGCTCGATAGAAAGTGGGATTCCCGCGAGAGATGGACGCGAACCATCGTTAACGACTGGCCATTATACGAGCAACAAGGCAAATTATCTCGCAGGAGCGGCGTTGTTTTGTTTCGCAACAATTCTTGACATTTCCGTGGCGACGGAACATCGGCCTTTTATGAAGTTGTCAGTTGGACAATCGTACGAATCCGCGTTGCAACAGTTGATCGTTCAGCTATGCCCTATCGTAAGCAACTCTTATGCAGCTATTTAATTCGATAAGTATTGGTTGTACAAGCTTGATTCATAAGACTTTTTTGTAGAAAATTTAATTCTCTAGAAGAAAGTGGCGGCCCAAGATTCTGTAACGTAAATTCAATTTATGCTGTGGTTCTACACAATTTACATTATACTCAAACTGTTAAGCCTTCCTAATGCTCTATTTACCAGTCACCTTAGAAACAATTTACCATTTAAAGTTTATCGTAGACTTTGTACAACAAAAGATTCGTCTATTTCTCTAAATGGACCACTGTAAGTAGACCAATAACGCAGTTAATTAATTCCTGCAACTATATCCTGGTACATAAAGTGTTAAGAAGCCCTTAAACCTGAGTTTAGATTAATATCAAGCAGGCGTAATCTCTATCGCAGATTGTTACGTTAATTTCCTTTCATTCCCGTGTCCTCGTTAATTAACGCGGTTGCGAAAACCGTCTCCAGGGTTTCAGTTTCGTCGATTCTAGCGACGCGAGAAAGTGCATCAAACGCGAACGATGAGACGCTACTTTTGCATTCTCTATCGTCACGCGCGGCGCGGGCGACCTGTTAATAAGACGTCGAGGCAGCCTGTACCAGCATCAAAAGTGAATAGCCGAGTGCGTGCTTACACAAGAGACTCCGAGTAGCTGGGCGTCACGTGCTCGCCTTTAAAAACATACGATCGTGAGATTGCGCGAGAGAGCCTCTTTAGCGTATATCAGCCGCTTTAACCTCAATTTCTTTCAGTCACCTGGGGGAACGTGACATCCAAATGTCTCCAACTCGCGGAAGCGTCTTAAACAAACATTCCGAACCATGTAAATACCGAATCGTCTTGTATCGCTCGTTTCATTGTAAATAATATTATCTAAGTATTGTATTTTTTTTTAAATAAAGTTAATGGAAAAAACCTTTTACCATCTTGTTTATCTTCCACGTCTTCGTTACTTCCCATGTGTGGCAATAATTTTGTTTAAAAGGTTAGTTTCTGCACCAGCGCAATCTGTATTGGCCACGATTATTGTATAGACTCTATCTATACAATCTATTATTTGCCTAACTTTAATTAGTTTTTCGGAATGAAGATTACGTGCATACGAGATGTATCGTGAAGAGATGAATCGGTATTGGAAGGAATTACGAGTTTTATTCGGACCTTTTAGGTTGCGGTAACGCTGTTTATTGCGCAACGAAGCTGTTGCGTGGCGACGCAGTAATGGCGTCGAGTCGCGCACGTGCGGTAGAGAAAGCTGATCGCGCATGCGCGCAGTGCTGTTACAGTAGGAAACGATGCCTGGTAGGTTTTAAAGGGGTGCTTCTAAGGGTGCGAAGTCATATAACTTTAAGGTTTTACACGATGCGTGGTTTCAGCTTCACTTTTTCATTATTATGGTTCTCTAGGATACCGTACCAATAACGATGCATGATCTAAATTCTTTTTATATATCTATCATTCTTCGAGGAGCCAAGAGCGCCAGTTTTGTGGTCGTAGTAGATACTGTACTGGTGCTGAGTACAGTGCGCATGCGCGAGTCGCAGCCATTTTGGGGCATGCGTAATGGGCAGAGGTTGGGTACAACGGTTTCTCTGACAATCAAACAGATTATATAGAATAATAATTATCTATACAATCTCTTTGTATGCAATACTATACAATAGAGCCTTGCTTTATCTAATCGTAATTTTAATCAGCTCTCTTAAGGTTCGCTGGGGAAAAAATATTAGTTGATTCGTGGTCTATGTATGACCGTCGCAAGGGGTACACCGTTGACATCGAAGAATGTAGTAAATAAACTTGATATTCGCAGGAAAATAAAGCGCAAACGTTGCACATTGTCGATTAAACATATTAAAGATTATTTTGTACGAGTTTTCGTTTTCTTGGTTCCTTGGAGCGTGCTCTTGCGCAAGAAAATATCGGAATGAAGAGTCTACTCACGGTTTGCACACTTCTGTGGTATTGGAAGAGAAAGGAATCTTCCTGGTCTGTTACTCGGAGGTCGGACTTCGTTTATCGCTGATTCGACGCTCGCGAGCGCCGCGAAAAGCACCAGGGCCAACGGCACCAAGATCATCTGAAATGCAAATTTTGTTTCTCTTTATATCCTCGCACAATGTACCAATAAATCACAAAATAATTAAAAATTGAAATGTTTAAGTTTTAAAATGCCAACATCAAATATAGTATATAATTATACATGCGTTTTATCGTTAATATATTAGTATATATATTTGGTATGAAAAACTTTAAACGCGATTTTTTTCTGGAAGGAGTGTACAAGATCACTTGTAATACATTTAATTTAATTTTGACTATTTTTCTCTGTAAAAACTTTTGTATGTTTTTGAATTATGAATAAATGTGTGCCAAAGCCCGTTATAAAAATTCCTTATAGATTAAAAAAAGAATCCTTAAAAAGCATTAAAAATTGTCGCTCTAGACTAGAATAGTCCCTTACGAGTACTGTAATATTATGTTTAAAACTTTGGTATAAATTGTGAATTTATCTTTGGTATAAAACAAATGGATCTCATCGGTAGAGTTAATCGTACCGACCGAGAGATCTAATATTCTGAATTACCATCGGCTAATATTAGCAATTTTCAGATTTCAATTGAAATTGTATTTAAAATACTATTGCAATTTCATTTTAAAATAGCTGATATACAAAGTTCGTACGCTGTGATTGAAACCTAATGAGACTTTCGCGAGGATAAGTCGTGACTCCGAATATATATTTAGTTTCCTTAAGTCAACAAGAGTTTCTCTTTAGGGAGTGTCGATACATAATGAGGTTTCGCGGCATGTATTTTTTGCTTATGGATGTAGGAGAACATCTGTCTGGTATACAATATTTCACGTTGCGAAATAATACCGTAAACGAACGCGACTTTCCGCGAGGAGTTAACGACCCGTCTCTCTATATCGATCGAGACGATCCTTCTTCCCAGCCAAGTAAACCAGCGTGGGAAACAGAAATCTTACTTGTAGAAGCGCTTACTTCTTTGCAAGAAGCTTCTTTTAAAGTTACGATCCTACTTTAAGACGTACAATACAAAGTTTCTGAACAGTGGATCAGATGGAAAATTCTACAGAATATTCTGGAAATAATTGTTGGATAGAATGAGATAGTACGGACTGCTAGAAATTGTACAGAATATTCTATGAATAATTGTTGGATTAAACGAGATAATACACATTGTTAAAAATTGTTTTCCAATCCTACAAGGGATTAAGCCTGAGGAACCGTAAGCGATCGATCACTTTTTATCGATTTTAACTGGTCACAGGTAAAGGGGTCAACGACTTTAAAATATTACGACGGGGGCCGATTTCACATAAAAAATTGATCCACGATCAGATAAACTTTCTCGTTACTCGAATAATACCTCCACAATCGAAATATATAAAATCTCTACAGAAAATAATTTTCTACCCATTTTCATTTCTCTACAAAGAGTATTTAGAAAACTTTTGTATTTCTATCAAAGATTATTTTAAAGCAAAAACTATGTGGACTCTATAATAAAACCAGTGTATATGTATGAAATATTTCATTCCATAATTGAAATTGTAATTTCTATTCGACATCCAATGGATAGAAAATTATTCATCGATTGATTCGATAACAATTCTACTCGTCGCAACGATTAATATTAACGCGGCTAGGAGCGCAGAAGCGAGTATCACTTTTTACTGGCACGCTTTTCGAGAAATGAAGACGTGAAACACTCTCTCCCTACGGTTAGTTGACATTCCGTTCGCGTACTACAGGATTTTGTAAATGAAGAAAAGGGGAAGCGAGAAAGCAACAACGCGCACAACGTTCCCTTTCTGAGCACTCACCTTTTCTCACTTGTCCTGCGTTAGTTTGTTTTTCGATTAAGTAAACGTGAATTGAACGAGGAGTCAGACAGTTAAAGAAACGTGATCACTGATAGGATGTGAAGAGACGGGCACCTTCGCTGACGATTATATAGAAATGGTCCCCACCAGGCGGTAGACTCATCCCACTCTAAGTTACAAGGACCCATCCAAGATTCTTTCTAGTGTGACCTTGCTAATAATTAGTCTAATAATTCGGCAATTACATGTAACTCGGATCCTTTTTCATGCCTATTCTGAATGCGTTTAATCGACGCTAGGGGTAACATAAATTTCCCGTTACCTTTGTTAGTTTGGTGAATAATTCGTAGAATTATACGCATACTTGAGTCAATTTGAATTTGAATAACGGATAGAAAATATAAAGCACGACTAATGTTTTGAAAAATTCAATGTTATTCTTTGGCTAAACGATTTGCTAATCGGATAATGCAATATGGGTATTAATAACATGGTATTTTTAAATAATACTCATCGTGTCTTTGCGGAACTATCCAAGGACGAAGACTGAAGATGATTATCAAAATATTCAGTAATATTTCATCGATTACAGTTACATGAAACTGTTAAATAAGAGTGTGCTGCGCATAATTCTATCAATGTTACCACACTTTTTTCTAGCAAAATAGTGTATAAACGCTTTTGTTAATGCTAATATAATAGAAAACTGCTGCAAAATGTATACTGCACGCTCGATTTTACCGCCGTCACTCTCGTGAACCGTGTCGTTTGAACATTAAACGCTAATGACCGGATGATGCTATTGAACTGTGACGTGTTCGCGCTAAATGATGATGAAATGGTTGCTTTAATCATTCCATCCAATTGGAAATCGTAATTACGAACCGTGTCGTTTGAACGTTCAATCTGAATAGTTGCATGACGCTATTGATCCGTGAACCGTATGGTTTGAATGATTACATCAAACTATGAGCCTCGCTGTTTAAACACAGAGTATGAATAATACTAGTAACCGTGAACCAGTATCGAAATGCAAATAGTCGAATGATGGTAGTGTACTGCGAATCGCGTCGCTCGAACAATTGTACCGAATTATAGACAGTGTCGCTTGGGTTGTTTATGAATGGATGTTCGCGCCAAATACTGCCACCACGGTGTCGCTTGAATGAATGATGTGTCCTTGCCGAATGATAGAAGTGTACTGGTATCCGTGTCGCTTGACCGTTGAACTACGAATCTTGTAAACGAACTGGAAGTGTTCTTCAGGTTCAGACGTCTTCTTCCTCCATCGAGGGAGCGCTGGTTTTCGCCTGAAATCTTAATTTTTCAATTAGCGTGATTTTTTTTCAAGTCACCGTCTCCCTTAAAAAAGGAGAGGGGTGACTCAGGAAGTACAATTATCTGTCATACTTGATAAATCGATGCTTTTACAGTCAACACACCTGCAATTTAATTGTTTAACGATGAAGGAAGCTTGGAAGTGAACCGCGTAATTGAAAGGTTTGCTCGTTTTCTACGATACATAGAAAACGTAGTTGGACCGAGCTAGGAGCGCAATTGACATTGCGATCTTGTTCGCCTCGGCATCTTTGATTACCACGGTGAAAGTTAACGATGAGGTGCATCTTCAAGGTCATCCACAAACAAGCAACGAGCCACAAACGGACGACATACCTTTCTGAAATTCGGATGTCATCGCTTGAGGCCGAGAGTACCTCTTTCGCTATATTTTCATGCGTATCGTTGTTACGCAACGAGCTCCACAAAATTTCAAGTCGACTTTTTAATTAATTTCTACGTTGTGCAACAAACGATACAAAAATTTCGCGACTTGCCCAAGCCATGCGTCGATTAATTTAGGACGTCGCAACAACGGAACAATACCATATCTAGTTATAGTTCAAGTATTGTTTAAGCGCGTAGTAAAACGAGAAAACGATATTACAGATTGTAGAAGATGTACTTTAGCAAAATATATATATGTAGTATGGTGTATCATGCTGTTTAATACTGTATTATGATATATTATCCTCTACTATGCTAGGCTGAGCTGTTTTGTTATACGTTGTATCATGTTGCATTGTGCAGTAATACTCTGTGATGTGCTTTCTTGTATGGTGTACAATGGCGTGTCACGCTGTTACTACGTATAAACGTAGGACTTGGAGTATACCATCCTGTACCACACAGCGCTGACTTTCCTCCTCGTGTGCCTTAAAATGGCACGAGCTACACGACGCACGTGTGCGTCATGCGACCACTGAAGGAGCTAGCTGTAATGGACGCGGCGTGCATCAGGAACCGTCAAGAAAAATAAAAATAAACATATTACATTTTATTGTTTAACTCATAAGATATTAATGTATTTAAATAAAACGCGTGACTTACTTTAGTAACAAACATTTATGTGAAAGTATGATACAGCTATTGTGATCGGTATAATCTTATATAGTTAAGTATTGTTGAACTTCGACGCTAGAGTAATACAATTGCATTCGAAAATATTAAATTACAGCAAGAAAGAAACTATCGTTTCACCAAGTACGTCCGCTATTCTATTGGAAGCCTGTAAATAAACGTCATGCTGCGATGTAATACCACTTTCATAAAATACTTTTCCGCATAATTTGGTTGAAATACTACAAAAGAAAGAACCTGTAACATGTGTCGATATCAAAAGCAGGGTTTAATTAATTAAAAGTGAACTCTGATTGCAGTTAATATTAATAATAAATATCAGTCAGACACATGGATCGGTATGATCAGAGACATGTACAATTTAGTTGTTTTCCTCGTTTACCATTACTTTGGCGTTCATGGATTCGTAAAATGCTTGCAGGAGGTCTTGCTGGCCGAGCTTGGAGCTGACAACTTTGAATATGCTAAGCAGCTCTTCTTTAGATTTACCGAACTCCTCGAGGTGTTTCACCGCGAGATCGGAAGACCAAAGTTTATCGAAAACATTTTTCGTCATGGGAGGGGTTTGAGATTCCAACGCCTTCGTTATATCGGTCGAGCTATTATTTTGCAAGGCTATATCTAATACGACGCACGAAGGAATAAGTTCATCGTTCGCCACAGTGTGACTGATAATGACATCCATGGGCATTCTCTTCAGCATGGCGTCCAGACTCGACAATTCCGCCATGGGCTTTCGTATCCCCTCTTTCTCTTCCTCTTTCAGTTTCCTCGACAACATCTCGGCGAGTTCCGACGACGTGCATTTTTGGCAAACGACATCCTTGACTTCCGCCAAGTCGAGAATGTTCAAGCAGTCGCTAGTTTTTATTTTCTTGCGGTACGCGTTCAATACTTTTACGAAGAACTGTTTATCGGCGCTGAAGATGTCTGGGAGTCGCAGGAGGACTTTGTTGACTCCGCAAGCACGACAGGCGGCTTTCAATGTCACTTCTGTGTTGATCTTTACCGGTTCAGCGCCGAGCATTCTTATAGCGTCTCTCTCAATCTCCACTTGTGACAGGTGCTTCATTTTGTTCTGAGGATATATAATAATAATATTTAGTAAATGGTAACTCGATAATTATTTTGAAGCTTCGAGCTTGGAAATTTTGTAGCTCGTATCGCAAAATATTCACCTTGTACTGCATGAGGAGTTTCTCTGGTCCACACCTCCTAGCAGCGCTTTCCAAAACTAAATTAACATCTATCTCGTCCAAAAGGTCTTCCAAGGCCATTTGCGCTGAGACTGACTTCGTGGCCTTGGCTGTCATCCTCGGTAAGCAAATGAAATCCTCGCTGGTACAAGTGCCAACAGTTTTCACTATCAAGGGTATCGTAGAAATTCCATTTCTATTGGAACAGCTGGGGCTTTCGGCAACAGCTTCCGATTCGTTTATCGCTTGTCTAAAAATAAACAAAACTCGATTGATCATCGTACGCTACTTGCGTTAAATTGTGAAATGAACGTAAACAATAGGACTTGAAACAAACATCGATACGTTAGACAATGACATATATAAGTTTACATTCAAGGAACAACTTTTCTTTGAAGATTTTTACGAGACAGCAACCAGATAAATTACAGGAAGTCAGAAATCAAGCTTAAGATATTATTTCTAACATACGTAGTTGTAAGATTTGATGAGTTTGAAACGGATGATATGGCTTTTGTTGCTAGATTAGATTCGCATTCGTCTAAAGTACATTCCATCGCATTTTTGGACGTTTCCGATGCGTCACTATCGACGATTTTGCTACAATTTGGCCGAACAAGAAGAGTAGCCTGATTCTCTGCCTCAGTTTGTGTTGTCACAGAACTCGTTTGCAACGATTCGTCTTGAGGTACTGGTTTCGATGTGGACCCAGGTGCATTCGTATCTATAGAATACGTTCCGTTGTTCGCAACATCCAGATGCTCGATTACGCTACTCGTTTCCTTTACAAAATACGTCTTTTCGAAACACTTTAATACGCTTTTTACAAATTCAACTTTCGAGTTACCTTTCACGGGAAGTCTGTTTACTTCTCGTTCAGACAACTGTGCCAGATCCCCCATGGTTTGAATTTTTCTATTTTTCAAATGCGTGGATAAATTCTGTATCCAAAGTGGATTGGTCAACTGTTCGATGACGCGATCTATGGGTTCTGAGCAAGATATCAACGAAGGATATATAGGGTGAATGGAATCTAGCAACTCTGGATGTGGAATCTCTACGTCAAATTCGTTTGAAGGTTGACTGTCCTGGCTCATCGGCAAACTCCCAAATACCGAATCTGTAACCAACAAGGTATCCTGTTCTTCCGTACTTGCTGCTTGCGTACTGGTTCGTATTAATTTTCCACAGAAAATTTCATCAGAGTTTGCGGTGGAATTCAGGCTGGTCAGATTCGCTGCATCCACTGTGTCCTCCAAGTTTTCGCTGCTCGAATGTTTATCGGATGATTGATTTCTCAAGGAATCGTTTCCAATGATGAATCCGAGAGAATCCAGGGTATTGTTTTCAGCGAGCGCCTTGCATACGCCATTCAGTTTGTCGTCGACGTTGCTCGTATCCTTTCCGTTGAATACACAACCTTGCGTCGCAGACTCGTCCAATTGATTACATTTTATACTAACATTGGATTCCTTCTTCGACTCCAACGCTGCGTCATTTTCCTCCTGATCTGCTTTGTTCCTATTCGATTCTGTATTTTTA